GGTGACGTCACCGACCTTAGTGTTAACAGAGACAGCGGGTTGTCAATGTCGGTAAGTCACGGTCACTAAACGATCCCGTTATTACAGTGAACTGTCGTGTCTGGACGCGCTGTTAAAGAGCAGAGCAGCGGACGTGTGTGCCATGTTTGTTCATATTAAGTTTGGATCAGTGTTAGTCGGCTAGTTGTCAGCTCTAGTTCATTTCATTATTGATGACAGGAGTCAAAACATCTGTTGAAATGATTCTGTCTCTGTCAGAATAAAGAACATCACTGAGAGCTGAGAACCATCGTGACATGTGCACCTGCACAATGACACCAAACTGAGTATTACTTTCTATTCTAATGTTATTTCATGTAAAACGGTTCAGCAGACTGTTTATTACAACTAAGTTGAGGGAATAATGTATTTTCAGATATCTGTGATCATCTAATCAGAGTGCTGTTTCTTTTGTCTTTTTCTCTAAACAATGTGATATCGATATGATTTCTCTCTATTATAATGTGTTTTTCCATCCAGCCAAAGTCTGGATCTTTGGTGACACCTACAACCTCTTGCAGCAATGATGGAGGCCCTGCACCACCTCCACCTGCAGTTTCCACACATGAAGATCTTCTCTTGCCAAACATACACACAGTGTCTTATATGATAATATAGTATTTTTTTAATGTAACACTTGTGGCCATAACACTGTTCAGTTTTATCAGCTATGCTCTTTCTTGTTCCCTACACCCTCACTGTCGTATTACACCCTCTGCCCCATGTCAGACATACAATCACATGACTTTTGGACTCCACTGTAGCTGTAACAAATTGTCAATAGTTTAAAAGTCCGTATTTCATAGTCCTCAGCCATTATAGTTAATATCAGTGTGCTGTTCCAACAGCATCACTTATTTAGAGGGAGACTGTTACTGGAGCAAATAAATATTAACTGTCTCACACATTAGGACTCATGATGAATAATGATTATACTTGTTACTAAAAATTCTGTTGCACTGTTGATTCAACTACTTCTTTTTATTAAGCAAACTTACATATGACAGAGAAATTCAGCTTTGACTTTATCCACAACTGTATTTTGATTTTAAATAGTTACAGTTGATTATAAATTGTACACTACAGTATTTAATTAATCCATTTATTACATTCTTTTATACATTTCCAGTGTTGTAAATTGTTTAAATTAGTTAAATTAGTTTATAATGTCCAATAAAGTTATTTATGAAGCTCTTGCTTTAACTTTGTTGATGGTTTTTATAGAGCACATCTGGTATGAATTTTCACAATAGTAACATGTACAGCAATGTCTGACTATTTCTTTGTTAGTTTTAATCAACAACATAAATACCAGAAATATTTAAATGTTGTCCGACAACACTGACAATGAAGGATCAAAAAACTTGCTGATGTTAATTGGTAAATACTTTCACCTGTGGAGGTGGTGACAGTGCTAGAGATGATCCATCACTTAATCACAGTTTAATATTTATAAATTCTGTTCTTAAAAGTGTTGCTACCATCACCTGTCAACAACAGCAGAAATGAAGTTGCAGGTAAGAAACTGAACCTGTGAATACTGAAGACAGAGAATAATAAACAAACTCATCAGCAGTTAGTCTGTCATTTCATCAGAGGAAGCTGAACTGGGAGAGGTTTTCTACCATCATCATCATCACAGCACATTAGAGAACTAAGGATGTCCATGAAGTCTCCCTTCTCCACAACCAGATGAATGGAAACAAATGGGCTGCTCTGTACATGAGGTCCTCCTTCTGTTGGCACAGATCACTCAGTTTTCACAGTGTGGAAACCTTTCAAATGACAATAAAAGACAGACACTTGAGTTAAGATGCGGTGGGTCACAGTTAATCACAAATATCTATCAGCTGTCAGGATAGGTGCATGAATGTCTGCTTCAGTTGAGGACTGGTTTGAGTTTTAAATTAACAATCTTCTATATGACAAATATTTGTCTACACATTTTGTATACGTTACGTTATCTTAACTTGAACTATAACGATGTCTTGATGGACAATATATTAAAACATTAACGCTACGCATTACACTCATGCAGATCACTTAAACTGGGTCGCATGTGGAGAAACATAAACCAAACGTCGTTTGATCGATTAAAATCATCTTTTTATTGGGCTTTGACTGAACCCAGGTTGACACCGGTTATCAGCCCAGCGGGACCAGGTACCGTTAGCATAGCAATCGCTAAGTTATCAGTAAACGCTAGCACTAGCTGGCTAGCTTGGTTAGCAAGGTGCATCTTCACCTGAACTGTGATATAAACAGGGATGCTAATTCGGCTAGCAAAAAATAGGCTTAAAACAAAATGTACTTACCGGAAAAACTGAACCGCTGACTCCTGTGAGTGTCTTTTAGAACAACTGAACGCCGAACAAGATATTTTCAGGCAAACAACATTTTGGAGCTAACTTTGATGAACCGAAAACACAATGACAAGTCAAATATCCGACACATCGCTCTGACCTCATATCTGGTGTTGTGCCAAAAAGTGACTGCCTGCCAAAAAGTGATTTCCGTCCGCGGGAGCGCGCACAGCCTGTTAAAGCTGAAAAAGCGCAGTCTCTATGACTCTACAGCTGCTTTCATCTGGATCAAACAGCCATTATGAATAAATACACTAACTCTATGGCCGAGCTAATAGTGATGTTACGTATGTGTGAGACGATAAGGTTTATTTCAACAGAATTTGCGGCCATAAACATGTTTGCTGTTTATAGTGTAATCAGTCATGATATTAACGTGATTAGTCAATAATGTTATTTTTATGTTTGTGTGTTTGTTATGTCTGATATCTTTGTTAAATAGACTGTAATTAACATGATGTATGTCTGACTTATGTATGCAATAAAGACATTTGGGACTGAAAGGGTTTTCTGCCCCAAAATGACTTCAAATCATTCACCACAATTATGATTTGAAGACTATACCTTAACCAGTACTTTTCACTAGTTCACTGTGTAAAGCAGTGGTGTAGTCTAGTTTTTTCTAGTGGGTATACTCTGATTCAATTTTGATGTATTATTATTTAATTTATTATTGTTTTAGTTGCTTAAGAGATATTCTTGGCTCTGAATTTGTTCATTGCTATTTTTATGTTTTTGTGCATTATTTGTTGCCGTCATCATTAAACGAACAGGGTTACTCATCAGTTACTCAGTACTTGAGTAGTTTTTTCACAACATACTTTTTACTTTTACTCAAGTAAATATTTGGGTGACTACTCTTTACTTTTACTTGAGTAATACAATTCTAAAGTAGCAGTACTCTTACTTGAGTACAATTTCTGGCTACTCTACCCACCTCTGTCTAAATGTATATGTATTGTAAGCAACACAAGATGTACAACAGTCAGCTTGACTTTTATTAACTGTCAAGACAAACAAGTTAAAATAAAGAAAAATGAATGAATAAATAATACACTTGTACAAAACATAACGTTTCAGAAAACAAGTGTAATGGTGGTTCATACAGTGCCATGTGAAACGGTTATCTTGCAGTCAGCCTGGTTGCAACGCCAGTGTTCTTGCCTAGCATGACACTGGCACCATCAAATACAAATGAGACCCAATTCTTTTGAAGCCATTCTTCACTGAAGCCTGCAGTGTTTAAACACTTCAACAGAGCTTCCTCTATACCCGCTGCTCTTTGGCTTTCCAGCTCAACTAAATCCAGAAACATAAATTCAGGAGTAGCTCCATCTATAGAGGCTTTCACATAGACAATCATGACAGATTTGTGGCTGAGAGATGTAGCCTCATCAATGAGAACAGACAATTTGCTTGAAGATGACACAATAGTGCCAACAATTTTTTTCTGCATCTCTTTTGCTATGTGTTGCACAATTGCTGTGGAACTGTACCTCGAGTGCAGACTAGTACCCATGTTGATACCATTTTTTTGCTGAAGCTCAACAAGATCATAATGATCAGTGAAAGGTCAGTTCATTTTGGCAAGATAGCATGCTGTTCTGAATATAGCATCAGTCTCGGCTAACACAGTCTCTGACACAGTTCTCACTATATTTCCAAGTTGATCCCGTCTTCCTTTTTCTGTGAGCTCCTGAGCTATTTCGCGTGCCCTTGATGTCTCATGTCACCGAATTTTGTTCCTATTGAATAGTTCAATAGCAGCAGAAAGAGAGGCCATTCTTCAAATAAAAGCCAACTAGTGTCGCTTACACAGCAATATATTCATTTAATTAACATTTACAGCAAAACCCATGATTTTAAATAACAACAGTCTGCTTTATTGCCATTTGATAAAGAGACTCCTCACTGGTACCAAGAGGGGAGACCACATCTCCCCTGTACTGGCCTCCCTGGGTATAGGTGAAGTGCAGAATTGATTTTCAGATTATTTTATGTCTTTTTTTTTTTTTAACTCTACATGAACTGGCACCAGATCTATGAATTGTGTCCTCTCTTCCACCTCCAGACCCCTCAGATCTGCTGACCAATCACTGCTCTCCATTCCATCAACCAAACTCCAAAGCTCATGGAGCATTTTCCGTTGTTTACCCTGAACTGCAGAATATTTTTCCACTCACTATTAGACCTCTCCCTCTCCATTACTGTCTTTAAAACCTGTCTAAAGACGCATCACTTTTCTTTAGCCTTTTAATAGTCACCATGAAGACACGACTGACCACACACCAGCTTTTATTTGTTCTTTGTGCAATTTTTAATTTTAATCAGATATTCTATGGTTTTTATTAATTTACTTATATCTTCTTATTTATGTATGTGTTTTTATTTGTTAATTTCTTTGTTTTTATTTGACTACAATCATTCATAAAATAATCCAATAATTGAATCTCTATATAGAGCACTTTGTTGTTTTTAAATGTAATCTTTGAATAAATCTGTGTAGTTTGTCCACAGGGGGCGGTAATACAACACAACTGCAGAGAAATGACAGAGGTAGAAGAAGAAGCTGCTGACGTAACAACAACAAACCAAGTACAAGCAGGTGACCTGACTTTCTCTACTGTGTAAAGCTGTAGGTCATGTAACGTTAACGCTGTCCACTAATGTGCCACAAACAGGTTCGTGCTGTAGCTTTCATTCAGTTTTTCAGTATGAACAAGTGTTAAATGTCGTGTTTTCGCTTACCTCTTTCATTACCTAGCTAGCTAACCGGCGAGTTAGCCGGTTAGCTAAGCCCCGTTTTTGTCATGTATCAGTAATTCAAATGGACTTATGTGTCCTGACGACCAACATGCAATCCACCTCAAAACAGTTTTGTACTTTTAGCTTTTTCTCCTGTAATATGTGACTGTAAGTAGCTTTAGCTTTGTTGTGGACACAACAAAAAACTATTACTATACTATAATTAGTGTGCATGCAGCTATGTCTGTTAATTCTAATGTTTTGTTCGGAGACTTGGAGATCTTCCTGCCCTCTTTCACAGTCCAAAAAACATACCTAACATCGTTTTATCAGTTTGATCCTTGATGGCTTTTCCCAATTTCATGCCTCATTACTAATGTTTTGGGGTCTTTGAGGCCTCAGCTGTAAAACATGACAAAAAAACATTTCATCTCTCTCATATTAATCTCCTGATTGTTTTCTTAATGTCCAAGGCTGCATCTGACCAACCAATAGTCCAAAGCCTGTTACTCTGCTTCCTGTCATACATGACAAAGGACAGCATCAAATTCTCCCATTTGAGAAGCTGGACCCAGAGAAACTTTGCCATTTTTGCCTAGAAAAATAATTAAAGTGATTATTTGATTATCAAAATAGTTGCAGATTTTCTGTTGATCAACTAATCATTTCATCAATCAGCTAATTGTTGCATATCTACTGTACTTTAGATGTGATTGGAGTTCACACATTGTATTTTTGTTTTCTATTGGAGTTTTATAGAGTGTTAGACCTCTTTGAACCCAAATTAACTATGTAGAATTACATAAAACGTGAATGACTTTTGATACCCAAATGTAATATATGTTTGGCTGTACAGAGCACATATAACATAAGTAAATATTTCATGGTTGTTGCAAAGGAAAGTGCTTTTATGTATATTGGGCTTTAATAAGGTGAATAAAAGAAAAATATTTGAAGGGAACAATGTGATTATTTCACATGTGTATTTTCACATACAGCAAAGGGGTCTAAACAATGACGAAATAAAGCTGGGTTAAGTCAGGATTGTAATTCTAAAATCCTGTGAATATCAGAATTTAGTACCAGCACTATAAATGTGCTAAAAAAAAATACATTATTATTATTATATTGAGTGAAAAACATAGAGGTAGCCTTTTTAGTTCAATCAGTCTGTATATTATATATTACCCCCAATTTGGTGGAAACAAATGACATCAATTAGTCACGTCATCAGTTAAAAAACATCAAGACAATGCAACACAACTTGAACACAATTCACACACAAAAAAATCCACAAGTAAACCTGACTTAACCAAATCTTACATCCAAAGGCTGAAAAATTCTGTGGCCTGGTCTGTGTGAAGTTTAACAGGACTACTGCAACAGAAACTAAGGATTCCTCAAGTGTATCCAGCTACATCCAGTAGCGACAACCAGATAGCAGTAACTCAACCTCCCTAAACAGTAGATATACAGAACTGGACCTGACTTACACCTATAATTTTACCTGCTATTTTGACCACAATATATAGTCTTTATTTAAGCTAATTTGTACTACTGGTAGTCTGTTCTGATACATCAGCGCTTCCTGACAAAATGATATACTCATCTCTGTAAGATATGACGGACTGAGCTACCTTTCTTAAAGATAATTTATATGGCTGGTTGTCTTTTTTTTTAATAAGTTTGCTTTTCAAATCCACAGGAGTGTGCCAGAAATGAGTTGCACTTTCCACTTCCTGGTTTCCCGCAGTGACTTCTGCCATGCCCGTGCACTGCTCCTCTTGTCTCGACAATACCTGTTGTTCAGACCACTCAGCTCTGGTCCCCAGATCAGCCACAGCCTGCAAGAGAGCTACAGGCTTCTGCAACTGCCTGATGAGGGACACAGCAGCCCTGCACAGGTGAAAGAGGCCTACTTGCGTCTGGCAAAGCTCTACCACCCAGACTCTGGGGCTGCGACTGCAGATGCAGTGCTTTTTGCCCGTGTTGAGGAGGCCTACCGTGCTGTGCTTGCACATCAGAGCAAGAGCAAAAAACCTGACTTGGGGAAGGAAGTGGAAGATGAGGATAGGCCCAGAGGCGCAGCATTTCAGCACAGACACTACCTCAGCTACGAAGGTATGGGTTCAGGCACGCCCAGCCAGCGTGAGCGTCAGTACCGGCAGGTTCGTGTTGACCGGGCATCTGAGCAGATTTTGAACTACCGGCAGAGGGAGCACGAGAGGGCAGCTGCTGCAGAGGGAGCGCTTGTGGAACGGGACATGCGACAGCGCAGCCGGAAGATCAAGATCACCCAGGCTGTGGAACGGCTTGTGGAGGATCTGATCCAGGAATCCATGGCCCGTGGGGATTTTAGGAACCTTAGTGGAGCTGGAAAGCCCCTCAACAAGTTTGAGTATAATCCATATGCTGATCCTATGACCCACAACCTCAACCGCATCCTAATAGATAATGGTTACCAGCCACCCTGGGTTGTGACACAGCGTGACATCCGAGAGACCACTGCTCAGATCCGAAAGAGGTTACTGGAGGGGAGGGCCAGGCTCGGTGACCCTATGACTTCCAAAGAGCACAGGCAGTGGGATCAGCTGTGTGCATCTGTAGAGGAGGAGTTGATGAAACTTAACAAGACCGTGGACAATTACAACCTCATCGTACCAATGCTCAACATGCAAATGGTTCACTTCAGTTTGTCCAGAGAGATTGACCGTGCTGTGAAGGGAGCACACCAACACAGACTGGAGCAGCAGAGGGAGAGAGAGAAAGAGCGAGAGAGGAGGAAGGAAGAGAAAAAAAGAGCAAACGCTGTAACTAAGCCTAAAAATACCAAACAAGGCCTGATGTCTTGGATGCAGAATTTGCTCAGATGAAAACACTAAAACTGTTAATCAAAAGTGACCATAAAAATGTTTGACATCAGTGGTTTATTTGTTTGTTTTTTTTCACTTAAACCAGTCATTTTGGTTCATGGGGCAGTATTTCAGACAGAACTGTTCACCTGCTTTGCATACAGTCAGAATCAAAGTCAGAGATAATGGTACCACTGAACAAGTTTTACTCTGTTATCCTCCAGGTATGTGGGATTGTAATCAGGTGATAGTGGAAGAGGATGCGCTTCCCTGTGACTGTGTTAGGAACTGCATGTGTTGGTAACAAATCTCACAACATGAGGCAATTTTATGATAGAAGTTGTTTCTGTGAAATACTTATCTTAAAATACGAACCCAACACTGTAACTTTTGGTTGCTATGTGACATTAAAAGTTAATGTAATTAAAAGATCTTGTGTAATAATATTTCTGTGTTACTTTTTTTTTTTTTTTTAATCTGGGAAATGTCTCATTCTAGTCCGGCAGCTGATCCAGTGTTGCAGGGTTGCAGATGACGACGGGCTCCTTGCTACTGGCTCCGTTGCCTGCAGCCTCCCTGTGCAGAGCCTGAGCGATGGCCCTGGATGGAGTCATCACATTGGTCCAATCGTGGGCAATGTACTGGTGGTACGGATCATGAGAGCTCTCCAGCTTCTTGGAGCGAATGTAGCTGAGCATGATGCCGAAGGTGAAGAAGCTGAACATGCCAACCACCAGGAGGATGTACATGATTCCCTGAGACTGAGCGTGGGCCCTGCCTTCAGACACGTAGTGCACAGCCTGCTGGGTAGTGTGGTTCTGAGGCATCGGCGGAGACAGTACACTGGTGCTGTTGAGGCAGCGCTGCAGTAGGGAGAGCAGGAGCGACTGCAGCTCGGTGGTGTTGATGTGAGACATGGCTAACCTCTGCTGGACACTCAGCAAACTGCAACTGAGGAGGGAGGAAGAGGAGAAAGTAGGAAAAAGGTACATCTCACAGGAAAGATCATCCTCTTCTTAATCTCTGCAGAAAATATATTTTATTTCACTATTGTATGTTTTAGCCTGATTATTGTATAAATTATTCACCCCCCCCCCACTTAAAACTCACAACAGGCCTCAGACAAAAATGAAATGCATGATTTCTGAGTTGCAAATGTCTAAACTCACAAGTTCCTAGAAGAGTTGACATGTTCTCCCTTAAAATCCAGTTTGGATGCAGAAGAGTATATTAGGACATTAGAAAAAAAAAAGCTAGAGCAGAGTTTTGGTTTTATGTGAGTGAAGTGAAAAAATGAATTCCCACAAATATCTACATTATTCTTATTATTTGAGATTAATCCAGTAGAGAGATAAACCCACCTTTCAAGGATCGGGATTCAGTTCCTGCTGTTATTGCCATCAGCAAACATCGGTTATTTAAAGTCACCTGTGTCCAGTGGGACTAGAAGCAGCTTGTAGCCCAGGTTTCCCAAACTACACCTTGAGTGAAAATGCACAACTCCTGTTCTCTTAGTCACATAATCTGCCCTCCTTCCGTGCTTTTACGCAAAAGAGATATGCAGCATGTTCAACATGTCAACACGTTTAATGAAACGAGGAGGTCACGGGACAAGGTCAAAAGCTCAGTGTAGTGAGGCAGTGGTGTAGCATGACTTAAATCACCGTCCTCCAATCAACAGTTAACTGAGCTAGGATTTTATCTTTATACATCGTACCTCATTGAAGCAGTGTTAATCTGGTAACACAACATGAAAATAGAAAATATAATTTGCTCAAACGTATTTATGTTACACCTGCATGTGGAAAAGTCCATTTTGTGCCAAGTAATCAGGGATATTTAGAATTATTTGAGGGTGGGGGACAATCAGAAGACTATCATCCTTTTCTGGCTCATTTACCTCTGATGATCAAGACTGGTGTTTAATCCCAGTTTGTCATGAGTGTATGAGGTTAGTACTATTGTCTCATATGTTAGAAAACAAATCTCTAATAGTCACATTTTGCAGAAAGAGCAGGAGTATGTGTTTATTTCTGGGGACGGTGCCGGGCTGACGCAGGAGAACAAAGCTGCTTTCAGACTAGGGCTAGTTTGGACACACTGCCGCACGGCTCAGACTAGATTGAGTTACAACACTATCACCTCCAAATGTCCTTTAACTCGCCGTTATAGTGTGGGTGTGCTTCCTGAAACCTGCATGAAGTGGTATTGAAGACAAATATATGCAGACGTACATTTTTGTAGTGGTATTCTGTGGTTGGATCAGCAGGCACAGCGAAGTGCAAAGTTTGGCTATAAGAGATCAATGTTGTATTTTGTCCAACACACTTTCAAAAGAATTTTTTAAAAACACATTACACAGCATTTGCAATAGGAAAATTACAGCCAACATCATGAAAACAAATGCAGTCACTGTCAAAGTTAACACTGATTAGTTCATTAGTTTCTTCAAACTTGTTCCAACACAGTGCAAACAGTGGATGAAAAATGATTTACAAAAACATTTACTTTACTCTGCTTCACTTACAGACTTGGACAGACATGGACTAGGACAAATGGAAAAGTTTAGATTGACTAGAACATAGTTTTTTTTTTAAATAAAAACCTCCTGCTTATGTTTACCATACACTAAAGCTGCTTTCTTAGATATCCAGAATGTCATATAAATGAAATTCACTCTCATTTGGCATGATTAAGACATGGCATCAGTGAAAATTAAACACTTAAAGGCTTTATAATTTTATAATTTTGGCATTTCTGCTTGTGTTGTGAGGTCAAAACAGATGTAAGAGGAAATGAGTTGCTACAAAGGTCGTGGACTGAAGTTACCCATCATATTTACATGGTACATATGAAAACATGCTGGGGATAGAATCCATTTACATTTTTCTTTGCTTCATCAACACACATTTCTATTGATGCTGCTGATTCTATAGAAAAAATAGAGCTGTCTATAGAACTGAGGAATAATGATAAATTAAGATGTTTGTTATTGGGATGCTTTGAAGTATTTCAAATTATGCTGAATCAATAAGTCACTCGTTTAATTTTTTTATCGGTAGAAAGAACTGATTCTGAGTTCATGTCCTACAGTTACAGCATTTCAGTTGAATTCATTGGATTCCCTACATCAAAGGCCATTTGTTTCCAACAGTTTAAAGTCCTTTTTTCAAAAATACACAAACTTTCAAGTGTTTAATTGTCCAATATTACCAGTGTGTTCAAAATCAACCTTTCATACAGTAGTTGTGTCGTTGTCAGCAGAATCATGGCTGCAGTAATGAAGCTTGACTCTTGCAGAGATGGTCTTCCTAACTGGTGGATTTAAAAAAACAAACATAAAAATGCAAAGTAAAGAGAATAATATTTCATATTATCACATTTTCCTAAATCCTAAAAAGATGTGGCGGAAACGGTTAATGGTGACTTGAAAGGTAAACCCAACTCACCGGTAAAGTTACTCTAACTGCACCCCGTCACAGTTGTCCTTTGATTCTAACAGTCTGGAAACATAAAAAGAAAAGCTGAATTATTCAGCTGTGAGAAACGTCAGGGACGGAGTCATAACAACCAAAAAAATTTAACCCAAAAATGTATTTATTTTTTTAAGTTAAAACCTCATGGCAAAAACAATTGCATATCTTTTCTGCTAAATCAAGCTGACTGTGGTGAAGACAATAATTTGGTCAAGCAATCAAACATATAATGCACTGTATGTAAATGTATGGCAGTATTTAAGACCCTTGGCCCAAGTCTATTAAGGCTTATAATATGTTGGTAATATATCATGTATAAGACATATGACTCACGCTGCTTGATCCTTAAGAGCTTTACGGGCCTCCCGAGCCTCGTGCTCTGCTGAAATCTTCTTGTAACAGTAGACCAGAACCACAATGAGCCACAGCTGCAGAACCACGATCAGTACATACATCATTATCTCTGAGATCACTGCTGTCAGCTCCCGATTGGCTGGGAAAGAGGAAATAGCATCTAATCGCAGTATTTGTTGTGATATGAAAGCAATTTTGAAATGCATTGGTCTTTATCTGGGCAAGCACACCATCTTCCATCGCTCGCTGTATATTCCCAGAGAGAGAGAGAGAAGTATGTTTGGAATCACGTTAACTGGACTGAGGTTATACAGAAGTCGCTGTTCCTTGTTTGTCCCTCATCAACTCCACCCAGGCTCCACTTTATTTCCCAAGTCTGTCTCCAGAGACTGAAAGATAGTGACAAATTTCAAACTCAAATCCAAACTTGAGAACAGGTGTGGATGCCCACTGTTCCTCTAGCACCACCCGCAGGTCAAAGTACCTAATGAATCCTGCTGAATGTGTTGTTCTCTTGGTTTTTCCTTTTGTGGTATAGAGCAAAATATCTCATCAATTGTTGGATTAATTGCTGTGCAGGTTGGTTGCGGACATTCATGGTGTTTGTGAACTTTTGGTGATCCCCTCAACTTGAATCTAGCACAATCATCAGGTCAAAAATGAGGATAACTGCCTCACAGAGCTGCTAGCGTGGCTGTAGATTCCTAGTCTTGATGTTAAATCTATGGGAAAGATTCAGTGGGCCAAACATAAACAAGCTAGGCCTGGCTCTGATAAAGATTTGAGGAGACTGCTCTTTACAAAACACTCTCCACAGTGTCTTTCCTTTTGTAATGTCCAGCTCCTGAGCGATTACTTGTTAGATGGAAGCGGTGGAATGAAAGCACTGCATGCCTCATTTGACCTTGGACCTTTTTCAGTGGGTTATCGTTTAATTTTAGGTAGAAAGTTCTTCGGATCCACATGCTGACGTACTGGTGTAACTCATCCAACGACATCTCACAGATGTAGAAATGAGAGAAAGGGGGTATACCAAATATAAGGAGAAGAAAACTGACAGCCAGTGGTGGACTGTAATTATTTACAAATAGCTTATCATCAAATTATCAGTCACATGGGGTAATAATTTTTTTTCAGAATGAGCACTTTTACTTTTTACTTTTGATAATTTAAGTATGTTTTGTTGATAATACTTTTAAATGAGGGACTTTTACTTGTAACAGAGCAGTTTCACATTGTTGTATAAGTACTTTTATTAAGTAAAGCATCAGCACACGGCTTCTACCTCTGCTGACAGGCAGTCTTTTCACAGGTACACCCCACCTTACCCACAGCCACCACGCTGAGCTCCACCTCCTTCTCCACAGTGACGTGCTCATCAGCCAGCTCCAGGAAGAGGGTGCGTTGAAGGATGCACTGGTACGTCCCCGTGTCATTGAAGGTGACGTTATGAATGTAAATGGCTCCTATCTGAATATCGCTGTTTTGTGTGCCGTGCCACTCCAGACGGTTGCTGAAGTCTTCGTGCAGGATCTCAGCACTCGGGTGGTTATAGTGGAAAATCTGAGAGAAGGAAATAAAAAAAAAAAAAGGAAACGAATGGGAACTTAAAGAATATTCTTATCATTAAGGGAAGATTTTAAATCTCTTATAACTCCTCCACATTTACACCCATAGTTACAAATGTCTTTCTAAAGCAGAACTTCTTCAAGCATGTTGGTATCACTTTTAATTGGTTTATAAACTGTAATTACTGGCTCTATTACTGGTTAATGCATCATTTACTAAAGCTTTATGGATCAGTTATAAGCCATTAATAAGAATTTAATTATATATCTGGCAAAATTATTCTGCAATTTGTTAACATCATAATGGTCTTTTTTTTTATTATATATAATACAAGACATATCATGAGTGTAATAAGCAGTCAACACCATGACGGAGTATTTCCACCTTGGAACTGCAGTGAACCATTAACAGTCTCAAAAAAGTTTTCTTCACAGTTTTATTTCCCAGTACAAAATGGTACCAATGTGTTATTTCATGTAAAAAGGGTAAAATGCTCATATGCTCATATGTACAATGTGTATGTATAATACATACAGTATATAAATGTGATGTACAAACAGCATGAACAGTGCATAGAAGTAAAAAAAGTTGACTAATTATAAAAAACAGACCGACTAAAACTACACTTCCATCTTGGGTAATACTCGGCTTCAGCGGCACAGTATCAACACAGTTGCTCAGAGGCTTCATAGTTTTCATTCACAATCCGCAGCCAGGTTTAACAGACAACTTAAACCAGTTCCCTCAAAGACTTTGTTGAACTCACATGCCTGAACTTCTCCTCTCCCAGTGGTTTGAAGTGCCAGTCTACGGTGGCCCGGGCAGCGACCTCTTCTCTTCTTTTACAGGAGATGCAGCCCAGCAGGAATCCTTCTCCTGCCACGGCTTCAGTCTTGGAGTCCACCTCCGCACAGGCGCCGTGGCACTGAGATACTGTGGGAAAAAACAAGAAGAAGAAAAGGATGAAGAGATGAAGGGATAGGAGAGGAAGATAAAGGAGAAGGAAACAGGACACATGAGCACAATAATTAGACAGATTAAGGAATAAGAACATGAAGTAAACAGGAGAAAAGAATTAGGACGAAGAATATTTAAGCGTTATTAGTGACGACTTTCTATGTACTGTACCGTTTACACTCTATCCCATTTGATGGGAAAATAAATTTATTTTAGGAATGTCTCTAATCTGTTTCCAAAAGCTTGCAGCTGTTTGTACAGTTATTTAAAAATTGATGCTGCACTGTCTGTATGTTTTAGTGTAGAGCAGTGTAGAGTATATATACTATATACCTTTTAACAACAAGGCAAAGTGCTTTACATTATACACATTATTACGCTTTACATTAGACATAAAAAGGCATTAAGACATGACAGAAAAACACTAGGTAATATAAAAACAGACTACTGGTCAAAAGTTTTACAACATCCCCATTTTACCTTTTTTGTTTTTAAGTTGAAGCAGTTCAAGTCCAGTGAATTAACTTAAATGGAACAAAGGTAAGATGTAGACCAAGGTTAAAAACTGAAAGATTGTGTAAAAATCATAGAAAACAGGGATTAAGTAATTGGTTAATTTACATCTTTCCTGCAGCAATAAAAGTAAATTAATTTGATTTAATGATAAACCTTTATAAATTCACTTATCTATTACATTTACATATTCATATGTAGGGATTTTTAAAATTCATCTACATGAAATTTAACCAATCACACTAAAACACAGAAACATTTATACAGTCATTAATAAAAATGCACTTGTTACTTTGGTCATGGTCTGTTGATGTCATCTGTTACAGTGATTACAATGCAGCCATCCTGTTTTAATATTTAGAAACTGTATGAAAAAGCTCTGAGAACCGTGAAAAAGAACAAAATTCAGCTCAATTCAGTTCTAACTCAAATGTGCAACTTCAACTACTGTCAACAATAGTTTCTCATAATTAGAGGTAAGAACGTAAATGGTGTTGGGCTTACCGAAAAGACTGAGGACAACTAAAAGAGACAAGTGGAATATCATGTCTGCTGAAACAGCTTATGGCCAGCTGTTGTACAAAATGCTGAACTTTCCTTGACGTAAACCTCTTGAGAAATATCTGTGGCGACTGAGATTACTTCACTGACGTAATGCCTCAATCAATGCTGATTGATTCCATGTTCCTCGCTGCAAACCAGTCCACTAGTTAATCCACACTGTCAGTCCATTAGTTCAACAATCTTGCATTTCACAGCGGCCCGAAAAAAGAGAAAGCGTCTTAAAGCCTCGGTACACCGAAATGGTTTACTAAAAAAAGTTTTGGTCTCCGTGTTTCTCAGCAGCAGTTTTGAGTCTCCCCTGCGGTCCAGACTGACTTTAAGGCAGCTATATTTAGAGCGTGTGAATCCAGGAGAGTTGGACGTTGTGAGTGTCGAAATCCAGCAGGAAACCTGAGATGATGAGACCTGATCCATAACTACAACATGACCGTCCAAAGCCAAAGACTACAGCCATGTTTCTTCTGATTTATAGACATTTTAGAAATTCTAAGGACTTGATTTGTTTTTCTTCTTCAGTATTGCATCATTAGAATTATTTTTGAAAAGTAAATTGGATATTAATGACTAGCTTGAAGTGTCATGCAGGCTTTGGTTATTACCATTTTTTGCCTTTACATTATCTTTGCCAAAAAAGTATTCATACTCTTCTATGCAGTGGCGTATTTATTCAATCTTTAGAGAGGAGCAGCAGGTCTGACATGTAAAATCATGCCTGACATATTTTGTTAAACAAATGTTTTCAGACAAACACCTGCTCAGAGTGGAGCAAGCAGCCATGCAGGGCTTAAAGGGATAGCTACACATATACAGTATTTATTTATTTATTTATTTTAATTTTGTCTGTCTGTTCATAAATGCTCCGTTCTCCAGCTCCTCTCCACAGGTCAGAGGTCACGGACAGGTGGCAGGGATACAGTGTCTTGCTGAAGGACACTTTAGCAGAGATGAATCGTCTGCTCCAGAGTTTTGCGTGCTAGGTTGGTAGAGTGCGTGAAAGCATCTCAGTGAGTCAGCCAGTCAGTGCTAATGAAAATACATTTATAAATACATAGATTTGTTCTGAGTTGCTGCTACTTTTCCTGTCATTCAGTGTTGCAAACTGACTTCACCTGGTCTCTACGCTCCAAGTATTATTACAATTCTTATTATATCTTTTCATTTCTCTCTTAATTAGTCTTATTGTTATCATCATTATTGTATTTTGTTAAGAATAAGCTCCCCAGTCACCGTCATCTTAATGAATGTACCTGTAAATCTTTTATGCTGCTCGGTGATTCTTACATATATGATACAGTACTTTATGTCAGACCTGTGGTTGCTGTTGCTCTGTCACTGTTAGCTACAGTTTAAGGTGTAGGATGGGTTTAAACCTGTGTTGTCTGTGTCAAAGTGGCATGATCAGTTAAAACCCAGTGCTGTGTTCTCAGAAGCTGCAATTTAAACCTTAATTGTTTATATTTTTGAGTTTATACTGTATTTGCTCATTTGTTGTGAAGTTGTCTGAAAATGTTTCAATTTTTTTCTGCACGTCAAGTAATTAACAACAGAAAACCTTGGGCAAGGTCGTATTATTCCACCACAGGACTACTGTAAAGCTCCAACTAATAATTATTTTCATTATCAATAGGTCTGACAATTATTTGCATTAACAAGTGATTGATTGTTCAGTGTATAAAGTGTCAGAAAATAGTGAAGAAAGCACATCATTATTCCTTGGAGCCCAAGTTAAGATATTTAAATAACTTGAAATTATGGTGTAGCTGCTCATCGTTGTACTTTCCCTGGAAATGATGTGCAACAGAAACATGCCGGTCAGGGAAATGAGAGCTATTTAAGTTTGGTTGTTGTTCAGGAACCATATAATGATTTGAATGGTGATACACATTTGAAATGTTCGAAAAAAAGTTGTCTATTTTTCTTGTCTTTTATTTCAAAGTCTGAGTGGGATGTTTGAACATTGACTTCCTCTTTTCAGCCTTGGTTTGTAACACATCTGTTCTTAATGTATAGGCTTTTTGAATGTGTTAAACTGACAATTTACATTCGTGTTATTTCATCTTTATCTTCTTCTTTTGTGAATCATACATGGTATTCACATGGATTTGGGGATATAATTATCCTCTCAATATGAAGGTGTGTGTGGACCTCTAAAGTGCTGCAGCAAAAATAAATTATATCAATAAATCATTTACTGACTGATTTCACATAGATTTGACTAAGTACTTCCCTTGTTCAGTTACTAAAGCTAGAAAATGTCACATTTTGTACCTGCAGTATATATTTTTTTATTCCTATTGGTTTTGATATCTCCCATCCAAAGGTCTGACAGTTAGTCAATGCCAGGTAGTTGTCACAAAAACAAGGCCACTGAAGTCAAGGCTGACAAAACAGACATTGACTAAAGGCCTCAACTTGCGTGCTGACTACAGTGACAAAAAGATTCACGTGGTAGATAAAGCCGGCGTGTTGACGTGATGAATGTAACGACTTGTTTTTTTTTTTAAGGGGGAATGGCTTGGCACATGTCAGGTTAAATTAGACATGTCCCACTCTGAGGTCGTACAAACAATTTAAAAAATGATCATGCACAGTTCACAGGGGTAGGATATAAGCTGTGTTTCTGCCAGCCACGGTGTGTGTATGTGCTTGTGTGTGTTTGTGTATTTTGGCTGCGTCGGAGGTCAGGGATGTTGTCATGTGATGTAACCAGATGACACAGTTGGGGCACTGAGCTCTTGATAAGGGTCCTTGCCTCTTTTAACCTTGTGGTAGCCGATGAATGATAATGACAACAAAGATCAGTCAGAGCAATTTTGGAAAATTACACACATATGAGGAAGAGAGGGTGAAAGAAAGACCTTGGGTTGCCACACTCATTGATTGGGGAAACTTCAAGGAAATGTTGACATATGATAAACCATGTGTATGTGTAATGTGTGTGTGTGTGTGTGTGTGTTTTGTGTATATTGGAGTGGGCTGTGCCTCTGTGACCCTACACACGCATACACAGTGAGTGGCACACCTCCTTTCTCGCAGTGCTGGTGATGTTTTTTATTTTTAGCACAGATCGAGTTTCCAGTCCCCGATTCAGCAGCCAGAAGCTCTCAGCGACACAACTCCCTTTACCCCGCAGCGGTCTCTTTTGCCTGGCTGCATATGTAAGACCGACTGCAATCCTGTGTTTCGAAGTGGAGCCGGTGAAGTGTTGATTTCAGGAGGCAGTCGCACGGAGTGAGGAGACAGAGGATGCCTGGTAAACCTATGGAGAATGTGAAATTGCCAAGTCATTGTGATGCTCTGCTGTCGATTTGAAAGGATACAGAAGCAACTGCTGGCTGAAGATTAAAACTGACAAGCAGGTAAAGGCAAATTCATTACAACAAAAGATGTTCAGGATACAGGATATATGTTGCTAAATACTGTATATTTAAAAAAAAAAAAAAAAGATGTCTTACTTTGCCTCTATCAGGGCTGCAAATTCTTATTTTTGTTTGTCGCCTCTAAAGTTTAGTCGCTGAAGTGTGATAATATCTGCCCTAATGTATAAAATGTGTGCACAACATTATGGAAATAGGACTGAAAGATGCAAAGTGTGTGAATATTTTATGTTGGGGTGTTTTAGAAACGTGATAAAATTAAAGTAGTACTTCCTGTAAAGTACACTAAAACTGCTGGGTACTAATCCACAAGCTGAAATAATTATTCAATTAATCAATAGTTGATCAACATCATTTTCAAGCAGAAATATGCTTGTTCCACCTTTCAGTTGTGAGGATTTTCTGCATTTCTATGTCTTATGCTGGTAAACTGAAGATCTTTGAGTTTTGAATTGTTGGTCAGACAAAACAAGCAATTTGAAGATGTTACTATGAGCTTTACAAAATTGTTTAGGCCATTTTTCATTAACGTGAAATAATTTCTCTAATAGTCAGAAGGTTTTCTATTATTTTCTTGATTAATTGAGAAAATAACAATAATAATAAAGAATCAATAATGAAATGAATTACAGTGCTAAAATCAACTTTCGGTTTCGCTGTATAAGCTATGTGTACATTTTAAACTAATATACATCTATCTGTTAAAATATCCACATTTATGGATCATTGCACCTGAAAGTGTCTCGTCAATGTTTGCTCTTTTGTTTTCAGCTTCAGACAAGGTGACCTGTCATTGGCCTTGTTTACTGTATGTGTCCTGGAGGAGAGGATATCCAATATCTTACAGGCTGCATCCTACTTATAATAGTGCATGAGACCATATGGAGCAATGCTGCTGCAGGAGGCAGGAGGTGAGATGAATATGCCCATACAAGCCACGCCACATTGCCTTCTTGTTGCTACCAAATAATAATTTCTGCTTAATAATGAGATACAGGATGAGGCATAAGCCATCAGTTCATAAATAATGCCTGCACACATCCTTCTTAGACACAAGGGGTCGCAGTGTCTCTCTCCATTGATTTTGGCCACATAACAACTCCCTTCAAATTAACTCTGAAAATATGCTAAATCTGTGGATTTCCATGTTGGTGGTTCGCGGTATTCTGAATAACGCTGTTGTGCTGACCTCATGTTTACGCTAGAAGAAAGTCCCGTCGATGCATGACACTTCTCCATTTGTTTCTATTCGCAATAAAACAGCCTATCTGTAACAACAGGGTGCAGATCATGGGCCGGTTTGTTTTAACTCAATCAGAAAATTAAAGTTGATGTAGGATAAAACAGTTTTTCGATAGATTTGGTTTGTTTGTTGTAAACACTCCTCTTCTTCTCGCCACATCCACTGAACAGTTATTTTCCGGGACTGTACCACAAAGTTTGTCGGAGGGGTGTTCGACTTGTTTTGCCGGTGGCTGTGTATAGGCGATTACGTAATAATAAACGTTTATTATATAATTCTTTAAAAAATGGATTTTAAAAGTAAGGTCGGTTATGCCTTATTAAAGATGTGTAGCAGGGATAATACTTTCTCTTGATGAGATTTGTCGTAACCCCCCACGTACTAAATAAATCGCCCGATTGACTGACTTCGTTGCTTTTCGCATTTCGACAAAAAACGTATTGTCTGTTAACTTTAAACTAAGTTAGCACGCCAATAATGCTAAGCTAACTTTCGTTTTGAGCTTTGAAATTAAATTGATAACAGTGTTTTATAGCGGGGTGTTTTTAAAGTGAAAATGGAAGACGTCGGAATAGCACTTTCTCCGGTGGACATGAAAGCATTCTAGCGAGATAGTCATCTTTTGTGAGCTGTCGGCCTTCAGAGATCGGAGGGGTAACGTAAGCTAAACTTGTTTGTCTTTAGCTTTAGCTGGCTAAAGGCTAACAGTTAGCTGCAGCCGGCGGATGCTCCTTCACGCATATAATAATGGTTATGTGTTCCTGTGAAAAAGTGGATTTTAACATTGCGCCCCGCAACGTCGCTCGGCTTGTTTTCGAGGCCGAGCAAGATAACAGAAACGGAGGAAACTCATCCAATGGGAGGTAGGAGCTCCAACTTAAGTTTAACCAGGCTGTAAAAGTTTTTGTGTGCTATGTTATTATTTCTTTCGGCAAACCTTTTTTTTTGTTTTTGGGTGTTCAACTGCGCACATCATCATGTCAACAGATATAGCTTTGTTTCACATAACTGCAGATCACTGAAGCGATGTGTTTGTGAAGCCAAAATGAACAGCATTAATGTTATGTGATGAACTTGACACCACCGGATCAGCTGTTCCTGCGCACTGGCTTCACGCAGCAAGAACATGATTTGATTGTACCTCAGTGTACTGTATCTGAATTGGCTGTGGTCGACGTGTAATTTTGTACTGTTATAGGCTAATGTGGCTTGTGTTTTATGGCTAAAAGATGAGGCTGGTGTTAGCCAAAGAGTGAAGCCTACACACGGATTATGGTGGATTACTCTGGACAAACAAGTCTGTGCCAAGATTGTTCTTGTTCAAACAGATCACAGCAAATACTGTCAGACGTGCTTGGGCCCTTGCCTTGGAAGTGCCTGCTTTGAAGGCAAATAATAGAGTGACACACACATATTCCTTCCCTGTTGGAGGACACATCTGCAGTATGTTTTCATGTAGTTATGACCTTGGTACCATATAGTGGCAATTAGACCTTGTTATGAACTACTATTTTTAAAGGGTGTGTTGTTTATGTCTGTTACAGTGTCTGGTAGCTGGTATGTGAGATTGCGTGTTTGTTCTTTCTGGCCAGTTTTAGTAGGTCAGCATTTGGAAATGCTGGCATTTAGATAGAACACCTGCTTTTTTTGCTCAGGGAACTGATCTGTATGGGCTTTCCTTGCAACACACAGGGGATGAAATCTCTCATTGTGTCTGGTACTGTACACTGATAAACTAACAGTGACTGGTGTTTGTCAGAACCATATTCACAGAGTTCCAGCTATTTCTGAGTTACTTGAAGGGAGAAAATCTCAAATAATGCCACCAAAATAATAAAACAATATTCCAAACCTGCATTCTAGTGACATGAACTATCTGTCCATAAAAAAAACATCTTATTGACCGGTGATGAGCAGGAACAGTATTTAATTGCAAATCATCATCTCTGAATAATATGATATGATACCTCATATTCCCAGAATTGGCAAAGCAAAGACGAGCCATAAATAGCTCTAGTCTTGCAATCATTCGTTTTAGTGAGAGAGTTGAACAAATAATATTTACAGATGTAGTCAGATGTAGGCCAGCCTTTTGAATGCAAAGTCTCTGCTCTTTTCACTCCTCAGGTAGCTACTTCCAGACTCAGATCTGTCTTTTTCTGAGACCTCAACTCTTGCAAAGATGAGCTTGATTATGCAAGTGCAAGCTTGAAGTCTGCCAAAGGGAGAGGAGGAGAGAAGTATTGAAGAAAGAGTAACACCGGACAGTGCAAGTGCTGCAGAGAAGGACGGGGTGGGGACATTAGCTAAACACACAAGATGGATGAGAGAGCATTTTAGTCACTCTTAGCCAACATATGTGCAGATTGGACAACTGGAAATGGATTACCTAAAGATAAGGCCTGTTAAATTATCTGACAAGCCTCCTCCCAGCTTACTGTTGCATCATTTTTGACTGTGAAGAAACACCCACACTGCTGTCATCTTGTGAATCGCTCTGTGGTTTTACCAGTTATGGGGAATTTTACTCGCCTGATGTGAAGAAACCTTAAATTCACAAGAAATACAGGGAAGACTTAATTTTTTATTTAGGATTAGTGTTACTTAATAAGTCAGAACTGATTTGCCACATCACAATCAGCCATGGGTCTGTCTCAGATCTAAAGATGCCATAAGCCCGTGTTGGTGTCCTTGACGTGACTATAAGAGAAAATTAACCCTGGAAAGCTCTGAAAATGACTATGTCCTCTCCTGTGGGACCACAGGGTATCACTCTGGCTCAGCCCATCCCTGTCCCAATGCTGACTGTCCTGCCCCCCTCCTCAGATACAGAGTCCTGGTCTCGCTCACCTAGCCCTAGACTGTCACGCTTCAGCCGCCACAGTCGATCCCACCGCAGCAGAACCCGAATTAAGAAACGAAATGAGGAAGAGCAAGATTGCACTCTGAAGCGAGGTAAAACACCACAAATTGTAATAGAAGACACTGCGGAGAAGGGCACCATTGGACACAGAAGCCCCTCGCCCTCCCCCTCTGTGGCCACACAGATGGAGGGGGAAGAGCAAGGTCAGGACAGCCCTTCGCAGGACCTCCTCCTGCCACCATCATGCTCATGGTCTCGTAGTCCCTCTCCTAGCCGCCGCTCCCGTTGGTCCCTCAGGAGCCTGCTCAGCAGAGACTCTGACTGGGACAGCTGCAGGTTAGTGTGCTGGATTCATCCCAAACAACCAGCCAAAGATTTAACATACTATGATGAAATAAATAATAAAATGAAATGCTAGTGTGCACAATTTCTTTACACCCTCATGAGAAAAGGGCCCAAACTAAAGTGTTTCTTTTTCTTCATTCATTCAGTTGAAGGCTCTTTCCTTGAAGATGAGCTCACTTATCTTACAGCAGCAGCACCACATAGGGTTCAATGGCTTGGAACAGAGCGTCCACACCGTCAGCACTATGTTTGACGCTCTCATGGGCATTCAACGCTTATAGCTCTGTAAAACCTCAGCTAATTTGCATTGAGGCCTACTGAGACCAGATTTGCCTGCAATGACTGACTACATGAGTAGCCTCTCATTTGCGCATGTTGGTGGGGAACAAAAAGGCCTTACATCTGACAGATTTACGCTTAGTCCACTTTTCTCAAACGCCACACAAGGTCAACTATTTTGGAACAGGGTGGGGTTAATTAGCTAATGGCTAAAACTACTGAGGACAGATTACACAGTTAAAATCCTGATTAAGCTGAGTTGATTCATGGTACGCAGTGACGTCAGATAAAAAAAGCAGGCCAACACTCAGATTGTAGAATTTAAGTGATGAAGCAAGAAATGCTCACACTACCCTGCACTAAAAACTAAAAAAACATGGATAATACATATCATACGACCAGCTATTTACTGGTATTTTGGAGAATAATGTAAGCTTTTAGAATAGATGGCCTCTTCAAATAAGCATAACAACAAAACTATGTAAACTGTAAACAAAGAAATTGAGACTGCTCTTGTAGCAGCAAGGAAAAACAGAGCTGGGTCAGTCACAAGGAGCTAGAGGCGGGGTTCATGCGCCATTTATCCTTGCTCTGAATCATGACATCACCTTCAGCCAATGGGAGCGGGCCCCTAGTCTGATGATGTCATGCGAGTCCAATCAGAGGAGATTCTGGGCACCACTGCAGTGGGCTACAGAGGGCAGGCAGAGGGTGATTCTCTCCTGTGCTCCATATGAACAGCTGTGCCCTTGTCCTCTTCATGTACACATCATTTTATTGATCCAGTTATATTATTTTGCTGGATATTAATGAAACTTACTATCCAGATCTGCGTTATTACCCTTCTAATGGTGGTTTGACAATTGGCTTTTATAGTGAAGAGCTAATGTGTACATATTGCTTAAAACGCAAGTGAAAGTTAGGGTTTAAACAATGTAATTTTAAACAATGTCAAGTTAATCCTAACAAATATGCACCTCTTCAGTGAAAGGCTCATGTTTTATTTTGTCATAGGATGACTCACACATAAAACACTTGACAGCTGAGGAAGCCATTATTGCCTAAAACCATCCTGAAGATATTTCTAGCAGTCTTTGAAGTGTTTGTAGAGCATGACAACCTACACAACCAACACAGTTGATTTGCATTTGTCAAACAACCTGGACAAGGCTGTAAAGTTTGCCCCAAAGGTGGGGCACTAAGTACCTCCTGGGCCTCATGGCAAATGTTTATTGTTCCTGTTAAACAGTAGAAATTTGGTTTGCACATAAACTCAGCTGTTGGCACAAAAGCCATTTGATGCAGTGGATATTCTTTTCGAACCACAGACCATCTAACCTTGACTTTCATAACATCCGTGGGACGTTGTTATTGTTATTGTTATTTTGTAAGAGTTTTTAGTTCCGGCTCCTTATCGAAACAGTTTATGATTATGTTGAAGTTTGTCTTGATCGTGGCTTAAGCCAGGCCTGCTGCAAAGGCTTTTCAGACAGGCTGTTGCACAGCAACTTACTGGTGTCAGTCTTCATAGAGGGTGTGAATCCAGTGGACACTAATCAAGGGTGATTTATCATTGATAGTATTCACAAAAGATGCCAAAAGATCTTCTGAACACAGTGATGAGGTTTTAGAGCTGTAGTTGCCAGCGGCTGCACAGTCCAACTTCTAAGCTACTGTTGTAGAGCAGCGAAAAATAATTGATTTCCGGGAAAACTGCATTTTATCTGGGTGTGAAACTATAAAGTTCATTGATAAATTACGTGGTATTGGATTAGCGCATAGACTTGCGTACTTGTTGATACCCGAAACTGTATTGTTGGAAGTATCAAAGGCATTTCCGATACTAGTATGGGAACAACTCTGTTTGTGAGGACTAAATCTAGTCAGGGGTCTACTGACCTGCTAGCTAAATTGTTTTCTATAGAACACTGGTCAGTTCAGGCATAGCTGCATTGGATGGGTTCTTCAGTTTCTAGATGCAACTAGCACAAATGCATTTTCCACAGCACAGCTGAAAGGGCAATTCCGCTTTACAAAGTGACGTCGTTGTACTTATTTTGATGTAAACATCTTGTTAAATTGTCATAAGAATTTATCATGTGTTTACCTATATGAATATGTAAACTGATAGACCTCTAATTTTAAATATTGCTAATATGTACAGCTCTTATCTATTGTCATGTCTTTGAATTTAGAATTTGTGTGTGTCAGTGTGCAGTGGAGGAAAGTCTTAAGTGCAATAAGAAGCTTGTAAGAATTTTTTTCCTATCAGATACCTTATACTTGTTATTGATGACACATCATAGCACCTTTTTTATGTACAGTTTGTTTGAAGCAACTCTGATCAGTCGGCTCTAAGGTTGATTCTGGAGCAGATGTTTTTTATTTTCTGTGCACTACTGTATAATTAATTTACGTGCAAGTATTGGACAAGTAGAAACACTGTAAAAAAAAAAAAAAATTGTCAGTTTCTGAGATAAAATCAAACTTGCATCAACATAACTGCAAAGGATGTTACACCAACACAGAGTTTGTAAGTGTGCTCTCTCTTTCACTTTCCGGTTTACATAGTCTGCACTCAGATGGTGCATTTACATGCACTGTCTGATTTATTAATCCATTTTTTTGACAGTAACAACAACCTGATTACACACATTCTTCTGAAGTTCCTTTCACTGTTGCTGGTCAGTATCTCATGTCCAGCACCATTGTATCAGCTTTGAACCTTGAACCGTTTTTGTTATAAGCTTTTATAGTCATGTTGATTGCTTTGTTTTTTGTAGTAAGGGGTGGTTAAGGGGTTAAGTTTTTTTTTATTTTGCGCTGTGTAAATTGCCAGAAGCTACGATCTCCTAATTAGCACAAAGACTCAAAAAATCTGTGCTCTCGCATAAATTCACTTGCACTGCTCTTCTCTCTCTTGCTAGGAGAGCAGGCGTATCTGTAGGCAGGAAGGAGAAAGGTGCAAGGGTAGAACATTAACATCTCGTAGTTTATACCCCGTATTGTAAAATGTACATCCTGTACATCTTTTTTAGCTTTTCTTTGAAGCTGCATTCCTGTCTCTTTTCTCGATGCCCACTTGGCCCGTTAAACTCTGACATTATTATGGGCCATTGGTGAACCTCAGAAAAGCAGATTACAGAGAGGGAGACAGAATGGTTGGAGATGTGGGCCTGGCTCAGCCCAGCGTGGATTATGATGTGGACTCTAATCCAAAGGGATGGACAGAGAGATTGAGGGTTAAGGGATTGGGTGGGCTCTGGGCTTTGGCCAGGTGGATTCACTACAGTCAGCTATGGTCTCTGTATTTACAATGATAGTCCTATTTTAGCTTGTTTTTTTTTTTTATAATGATATATACATAGTGAACATAGGGACGAACTGGTATTGCAGACCTACATATGGTACCAGTTTGTTTGAATCACAGGTTGAAAGGGGGCTTTAGATCTTAAACTAACTACCATTTTTATCATTAATTAGTCTGCTGATTATTTTCTTGATTGTTTGGTCTATAAAATCTCAGAAATGAGTCACGAGAGCCTATGACAGTCTCCGAGAAGCCAAAGTGATTCCTTCAGATTGCTTATTTGGTCCAATCAACAAATATATGCATTTGAAAAGTCAGAACCAGTGAATTTTTGGCACTTTTCGAAAAACCATTTATCAAAAATAGTCAGTTTATCCACTAATCATTTACTCATGAGGTTCATCAATCCATTTTAAAACATCTGTTGTGTTGTCTTGTTGGAAATGCTACTGGATTCCCAGAAATGAATGGGATAATGAACGAGAGATTAATGCTGAAGCTGGTTAACGAATTGAAGCAGCATATAGAGTCTGCTATAGTTTTATATGCGGATAAAGGCATTCACGTCAGAGATAACGCTGTTGGTAAATGTTTTTGCGGTCGGCTGTCTGTGAGGTTTTGGTTCCTCTTAGTTCAGATAAAACCCTTCAGTTTCGATTCTGGTTTATCATCCTTATCGGTGCCCCCAGTTCATCGCCACCTCACTATAAAAGCAAGGCCTCACTCAACACATGGAGCCGCCTCCTCCTCCTCCTCCCTCCCTCCCTCCCTCCTCCCTTCTCCTCCCCTTCCCTCCTCCTCCTCGCTCCCTAGTGGCAAAGGGGATTACGGATGGAAGCAGAGACAGCAGCCCGTTACCGGGTACTGCAATCGGTATAGGGAGCAGCGGTCTGTCCGGTACCTGGCTGCTTGGGCGTCGGACACAAGGGGAAATTAACATCTGCCCCCGGGCCGGTGGGACGATGGGTGCATTTCCACCCCGACGCTAACCGAAGGAAACGAGGCAGAAGAGCGGACATACACCCCTGTAGCGTCTGGCTTGCTTAAGCTGCACACACACCAGGGACACCGGTGCCATATTGATACAATAGAAAGCAGCAACGCGCGCGCGTGTGTGTGTGTGTGTGTGTTTTATTTTGTGTGTCTATCAGCTGGATCGCAAACGCCTCATGACATGTTCGAGTAAGTGGCATAAACAAGAGTCTCCGGTAGTGTGATGGATAGCATGTGTTGCACAGTGATGTCTGCCCGCGGTCCTCATATACCGTTCATGGGCGTTTGTTGTGATCAAATGACCGAATCCCACTGATAATATCTGGATGTTACCGGCATGGTTCACGGTAAAAACACAGACGTGCAGCCAAGGTCTGTTATTAGCGGTGATCGTTTTGTTTACCTTCATCCTGTCGGTGCTCATTCGTTCACACGGTCTGCCTACAGCCCCCCACCCTCTCCATCCCGTTTCACTGACCATAACATCAGCCTTGTACAACCTAGTGCTTTTCGATCGAGTTGTATAATTCCTCTTTAAGACTCGTGCTTCATTTTGTCTCGCTTCTCAGGTGTTTGTCCCGTTATAACGTCGGGTAGCCGGTGTGTTAGCTTCCCATTAGCTGGCGATCTGTGCAAGTTCTCCTCGCTGTAATGTGTGCTAGGACAGAGGGCAATATAAAGGTGAACCACACCACAGAGGCAGCTAGAGGTTTGTGTCGAAAATTCTGGCAGTGCTGCCGGTTAGCCTTTTACATTCGTGCTGCAGACGGATTTAGCACCGGTTTGTAAACACATGCTGGCTGACACAGATTCACATCAGCCTGTCCTGGTCACACTCGGTCGCACTGACTGACAGCGCCTATTTACAGCGCCCGCTGCTCTGATGTACGTTTACCCAAAGATAGCTTAATGCAGTAGATGAGCTAATATATTTTCTGGGTTTATCTTCCTGTAAAACGAACTTGGTGATTTTTAGTTGTGGCTTCACTGCTCTCTCTCCCTGCCACAGTGGTGTTGCCTTTGAGCTGGTCACGGACAGCTGTTTCCAAGTTTACAGCTGTGCTCATTTCATATTTTCCCCCCAATTTTTTTCCTTTATTTAATCAACTAAATGGTAAAGTCTCCCTTTCAAGAGGGCAGCAAGAAAACATTAATAGAAACAACATTGTCAGTCTAAGATAACTGCCACACACTATAATAGAGTATAGACAATATTCAGTTAAAGTGCACAAAAAGATGAGTTTCTAAAATGTCTAAAGTAAGGTAAAAAAAACAACAACAAAAAAACATTGAGCATGCATGAATTCACCAACAGGAATTAGCAACTAAATTATCAACAATATGGAAAACTTTCATGGCATAGATTAGGAGGGGAGATGGTAAAAAAATCATCTCAGATTGTTGATTGAGAAATTAGTTACAGAGCAATGGTTAATATGGGAATACTTTGAGGAATGGGGTGAGTGGAGAGCAGTTTGGCTCAAAGGGACTAAACAAAGTGTTGAATTCTTGTTTTGGCTTCATTAATGAAATTATTAATTGTAGGATTCATTCACATCTGATTCATGGTGCCCACTTTAGATCATAGAATGGGCGATGATAAATAGCTGTGTGTGCGTGTATGTCTGGAAGACAGAGGCAAACTTCTAAGATGACTGATGGTGAATGCGGCGGTTGTTTTACTTACAGAGGAATGAGTTGCATTTTCATGGGTCACTGACCTGAACATTAGATGCAAGTGGTTCGGGAAACAGTAGGATGCACATGAAGAGGTCAGAAGAGACTGCAGCATGTCGGAAACATTTATTTGTCCATTAAGTGTGTAGCATATAAGATGACCATGGCCCTGATGAAGGCCAAAACCCGAAGGTCTTACAATGACGTTGTTCTTTATACAGCTGTTGCTGGAGTTTTGACCCCTCCACACTTGGACATAGGTGAAGCTGTGCCAGTAATTCCTGCTCTGAAATGTAAAATATAACAAATGCCAATTATAAGTTGCTCATTTTGTGTTTCCCAAAGGTTTTCAGTTCGCGTTAATATGAAAGAAAGAAAAGCAGTAGTTATTACATGAGGGCAAACTTGTCAGCAGAAGATTGGTCGATTGTCACAGTTGTCATTAATTATATTTCTGTCAGTTGATTAATGGATTAATTGGCTAATCATTTGAGCTCTAGTCCACACTGTTAATTCAAAGTCACGGCAACTATATAGCTGTTATATATGTCAAATGATGTTTTTCTGTTCTCAGTGAAATGTGTATCTCTGTCTTTACTCAAGTTCACCAGGAGACAAACCTAAATGAAAATTTGTTATTACAGCACAAACTCTCCGAGGTTCTGACCGGGTAGGGTTTTATTCAAATGGAAATTGTAGATCATGTGTTTTGTAGTTACATTTCTTGATCGGACTGTCTTAAGACATATTACTAAACAGCTTTAAATACCCTCACTGTCTGCTGCTGTACCAGTCAAAATGAGTTCAGCTGATAACACTGTCCTTAAATAGCCTTTCTTTGGTCTTCACTAGGCAGTTTGAGATGGTATGCTATTATTAAAAAGGAAACGCCTCCAGCCTTTCTTTAAAAAATGACATTAAAGGCAGGACAGAGGGAAATTTAGCAATGAAATATGAAACTGTTTCCGCGGTTCCCCCCTGAGCTAATGCGCTCTCTCTCTCTCTCTCTCTCTCTCTCTCTCTCTCTCTGTCTCTCTGTCTCTCTGTCTCTGTCTCTGTCTTTTCTGTCTCCAGTACAGCCAGTAACTCTCCACGCAGCACCCCTGGCAGCTCTCCTTCCCTGCGGCGCAGGGTCCTCGGGGGTGGCAGGGCCACTGAGACCGAGGGAGGAGGAGAGAAGAGCGCTGGTGGAGGAGGTGGAGGTTCAGATAGCCCCCTACCCTCCATACCCTCTGCCTCCTCCCTCACATCCGCCTACCCACTTGCTTCTCGCCACTTCAGCCGCAATGCCAAGGTACCTCAGAATATCCACTGACCAAGATATTTTATAGATTTCTGCTAAGCTTAAATCCTAGTCAGTAGACATGCAGACACAGAGAGATGAGGCTAAAGGTGAGAACTTTCTACCTGTGTTCCAGTTTAATATACAGTATGATCACTGTCTAATCTTTACGTGTGTCAGACTTAAGTCTCTTTCCTGTGATCCCAATGAATGACGTCATGACTAAATCAAAGCTATTTCAAGGCCATTTATTCTACAGTTTTGTGGCGTGTCCTCATCAAAGACTCAAAATCAATTTCTTTATGACTTTGCAGAGCTTGAACAAAATAGCAAACAGTTGTGCGTGAATGCACCGCTCTGGCAGAATTTTTAATCAGATCAGTCTGCACTTTCAACAGCGTTTTCAGTCACAATTTTGAAAGAAATTCATGATAAATAAACAGCTTAGATACCAAAAATGTTTCTGGGTGGGTGGGACATGGCCTCCCACACCAGGGATTGTAAATGTTTGTTTTGTAATTCCTTTACCTTCCATTTTAGCCATGTGAGCTGTTACAGTGTTGACCATTCCTGTCAGCAGACTGTTTTATACTATATAAATGTTAGCATGTTTACTCCCTGTAAATGAACCTGTGTGCCTGAGGGTTTTGTTTAAGCATTCACATATCTATTATTTCAGGCTCTTTGTTGTGGAAACAACAGCTTTTTAAAAAAAAAAAAAAAAAAAATACCAACGACTGTTCATTACAGCTAGTTAGTGACACATACCTTTCTAAAAATGAAGAAGTGCTGATAGTTTTGACAGCTCTTGAAACTGCCAAACCTCAAGGTTACTGAAAACAGACTGAGCTTAAGGACTGGACAGGCACAATCGCATGCATTCAATATCAAAGAGGGCTACTTTACCAGAGCATTGTAAGCTCATAGATTTTCCATATCTGCTGAGAATCAGTAGTGTAAACTTTTTATTCCTACAGAGAAACTTTAGCACTGTTCATTACTAAGCATGCTTCTCTTTTCTCTACAGAAAATGCAGAGCTGGTACAATGTAAGTATATATTAACAGCCCCTCATTATGCATTTTCACTCCAGGGTACTTGCCTTGCTGATGTTTGTCTGTTTTTTTAAGTTTCATGCGGGTGGAACCAGTTGACATAGTAAAATGCTAATCATTGGAGTTGATTTTTTAGTGTTTATCCTTTAGATAAACACTGTTTTTTTTTCTCACTTGCTTAGCCTAATATCCCAGTCTAGCCCAGGGCTACTGACTGCGACGCAAGGGTAGCTGTGAATTCGAATACCACGTTCTCCTTTCTTTTTCCTGTCCTCAGGTTCTCAGTCCGACATACAAACAGCGGAACGAGGATTTTCGTAAACTCTTTAAGAAACTTCCTGACACAGAGCGACTTATAGTGGGTGAGTGAGACATAGAAGTGCCAAAGACATGTTGGCATATGATGAACTCTGTTGTGCCCTGCTCATGTTGGGCGAGCTACACTTGTGTAGCCGTACGCTTGAGAAGATTAAATGCTCATCAAAACCTCATACCTTAAAGCAAACCTTTTGAATTGGTGAAGTGATACAAGCAGATGTTTATCAGTCTACTGACCTACCTATCTTCTGTTCCTGTTTCTTTCCTCAGACTACTCTTGTGCTCTGCAGAAGGACATACTGCTTCAGGGCCGCCTTTATCTGTCAGAGAATTGGCTCTGTTTCTACAGTAACATCTTCCGCTGGGAAACCACTGTAAGTCATGCACACACTGTGTACACATTTACACGCGCACGGTCAAACACATGCCCGTTGTAACCTGGTTAATGTCACACCTGCAGTCAGATAAGAAGTCATTTTAATGGACATGTTTGCAGATCAATATAGATACTGCTCAGGCCCTTGGTGAGATAAGACTATCACACACAGAAATGCACGCTGAAGCATACACACAGTGAGCCTCTGTCCCTCTCTGTTCAGATCACTATCCTGCTGAAAGATGTGACCTCTATAACCAAGGAGAAGACTGCTAAGCTCATCCCAAACGCCATCCAGATCAGCACCGACAATGAGAAGGTCAGACTCAAGCACAGATAATAATGGGCCGTAGTATTTTCAATGAACGGGAGACTTTTAATTTTACTCCATGGTGTATTAACACACTATCCTTTACAGTATATTTTTTATAAAAGCATGAAAAGTGTCAGCTGTTGATACTATTCACTTTGAATTATCCTTTTTTTTTTTTGCCAGTGAAGCAGTATGAAATAAGCTGACTCAACTTCTGCACTGAATGTGACAAAGCAAACATCCCAACAGAGGGAAACCATTCGTCAAATCCACTGTCACATTTTTCTTCTCTCTCCCCTCTTTCTTTCTTCCTTCCTTCCTTCCTTCCTACCCTCCCTCCTTCCTGTCCCACTGATATTTACCCTCTCAGCATTTCTTCACATCTTTCGGAGCAAGGGATCGCAGCTACATGATGATTTTCCGACTGTGGCAGAATGCGCTGTTGGACAAGGTACAACCTCCTCTCCCACCGCCCTGGTGGTTTATGCTGCTGTCTGATGTGACACGGCGAGTAGTTAACATCTTAGAATAGAACACAGCGTCAAGAAGCAGGAAACGGCCATAAACACAGGCTCGAGAGAACAAATCACTGTTATTTGCTGAGTTTGAATACAGACATTTATTTGAACAGCGCTGGTGCAGAAACACAGCAGCTTAGTATTAAATGGCAACACATGGCAACTGATGGTGAGATGAAACTGCACATGCGATGGAAACATTACGTGATGTTGACTTTATACCGGTGCCTGGAAATGACTTACTGTTTCACCTGCAAAAGGCTGGCTAACAAAAACTAGGTAGCTGCCACGAACAATCATCAGATGCTATGTTGTGTTTGCAATCAGAAGTGTAAACTTCAAACTTACTGTTTTTTTTTTAGTGATATGATGGAGTAAATTTATAGATCATCACTGAGGTCAGCACAATTTCAAAGTCTGACAGAAAGTTGTGACTAATGTGAAACGTGAGCCTTATGCATTTATTCCCTGTAATGGCATGACTGGTTGGATATCCCCATTTTCACTCTTTCATATCATATTGACTACTTAAGCACCACATCATTAAGTGCTGCCATCCTGTTTACAGTTAGAATTGATTGCCATCCAAGGGGCCTTAGGAACCAATATAAACTCTTATACACAATTCTGCACAATTAACAGAGATGTCCAAGACTAGTTAACACACCTCACTGTATCATGTGGTCGGGGTTAGCCGCATTAGCTATACACTCTGAACCAACTGTGTGAACAGGTGCTACTAAACCATAGATGAATGCAGGAAATGGAGAGCTGTGGATCTGCTGTGTATCATCAAGTCAGTCATTTCAATTTGATCCATTGAATGTTGTGTGTATTATTTTCACAGTCTCTGTCCCCTAAAGAGCTCTGGCACATCGTACACCAGTGTTACGGCACTGAACTGGGCCTCACTAGTGAAGACGACGACTATGTCTCCCCCACCGCCGAACACATGAACGGCCTACTGTGAGTGCTCATGTGTGAAAACATGATAATATGTCGGGCAGTTCATGTTGTTTGAGAGGCTTATATTGTTGATGCATATGTGGATGCTTGTCGACACACACAAAAACACACTTTTCACTAAATTCTGTTGATTGTCTACATTGTAATTTTATTGTGGTTACTTGCTGAAACAGAAAAAGCAGCAGAAGAAACATGCTCATCAGGTTCTCAGGTTGCACATTTGTGTAAACATGACCAGACCAACCGACATGCATGTGGCATGAGGCCTTAGTTTGCTTTTCCTTTAACCAAACATGCAGATCCTCGCTAACTAGGAAAAACATGTTTTTGGTGCTTACACTATACAAGTCATTAATTTTAGATTTATAAACTTTTGTTTTTAATGTCAGCTAGCATAATAAATGCATTAAATTCCAGGTCGGTTAAAGATTTCCTAAACCTGTCCCTAAGTTCTCTAACAAACACTTTCTCTCACGGTCTGGTTTTCCCTGTATGTGTCTCTGGTTCACTCAGTCTCTCACTTCCTCTCCCTCCTTTCCCCAGGCCAGGAGACGAGTCGGTGTCGGTCACAGATCTGCTAGACCTGAGCTCAGTGTCAGTTCCCTCTACCGGCAGCTCTCCCCCTCCCCTGGTGCCCTGCGGTCCAGCCAGCCCATCCTCTGCTACAAACCTCGGGGGCTCCTCTCCCCCTAACTCCGCCTCCTGTCTGCCCATAGAGATGCCCTCCTCATCCGGACGCAGACTCAGCTCTGACCCGCTCGAACCCAGCCCGCCCAGCTCCCACAGCTCATTGCCATCCACCACTCCCACCAATGCCTCCGCCTCTGCCTCTGCTCCGGCCTCTGCTGCTGCCTCCTTTGTGAGTGTTCTTCTTGACATCCACATTAGTTAGGCATTAACAAGGCGATATCATGTCTTCAATATAGTATAATGCACAGTCTGATCACATGTGAGGATCTATGATTTCATGTACTTGAGTTGTACAAGAATAATAAAAGACTTGCACTGCCTTCAAAGCTGTTATCGTAATGGATATTAAAAAACAGGGTATCCCATATTGCTATGGACGGTCTGTGCATCGCCTCTGCTTCATTAAGTGGAGACTTCAACTTTAATAATCAGCTGCAACACAGATGGAGCAGAAAAATCTACTCACATAATTAATCTGCTCCTGCTTTTTGTGTTTCAAGACATCAGCCTGAAATCTGCAGCCAGCTGGCATTAGCTACATGGCAGAGATGGACTGAATACAGTAGAATCCACACACTGCTCCTTTGACTCCCGTGGCTTCCTCTCTTGTAACCAGAGATAATACCACATCCACAAACACAAACCAAGAGCTTAGATCAATGTGCAGTCTCTTTTCAGTCTGTCTCTCCCATATGCGTGACCGTGAGATTCACTACATGAAAACCAGAACCAGCTACCCGCCAGGAGAACAATGATTTCTAGAGTTTGGTTTTGACTTGATACCGCGAATGTAGAAGCTATTATTTTCATTTTTCTTTTTGCATGAAAATACCCTTTTTATGCACCTTGGAATAACTTGATTTTCACAATGGAGACATTTTATACCATGTGCAAAAACAAAATCAAAACCTAAAACAAATGATTGTGGATTACATCTGACAGAGTCTGTGTTTGTGTAATGTCCGTGTCTTAGCAAGTAAATAATCGTGTCTAACCAGCTATGATTCATGTTGTACTTGCCAAACAAGTCTGATTTGTATACTGGCTAACATATCCAATACAAGCCAACATTAGCAGTGCTCGGTAGTGCCTTTTAACACTGAAATTGATGCACTACTTTAATCTGTCTGATGGAATTGTTCTCCTCAATAAATAATCTGAACCATGGCAGGTTCATTAGTATAGCACCTTTCAAACACAGGGGCCATGCTTAGATAAGGCAAAAATGATAATAATTTAAAAGCACAAATAAGGAACCTGCATGCACAGTGCATGCCACATAACTGCAGCATCCATGTGAATCCAGCGTGGGACTTCTAATCTTATGCAAACTAATAATACAAATAAACAAAAGCATTTTTGACAAAAATCATGATGTATATGTTTTTAAGTGAGGAGTCGTGGAAGAGTGTGTAGCTGTTTAGGTTGGCTCTTTGTCCAATCAGTTCTGCTTAAAAGCAGCTTCTGTGGTTGTCTGTGTTGATCAAGCCTAAGCAAAGCTACAGTGAATAAATGGAGTGCTGTGTTGACTGTGTGTCGGCTTCAGACACGGCTGCAGTGGTATGTCTGCTCAGGCTGCGTCAACACGAGGTCAGCCCAGCTGAGGCCTCTTTCGTCTCAAGTCATATGACAATGGGGTGATTTCCCTACAAACCTCTTGCTAACTGTCCTCTGGTGTGTTTTTTTTCCCCCTCACTGCACCAGAATCTCGAAGAGGGTGGGGACAGCCTGTCTGAGTCAGCCAATCACATGCTGCCCCAGCCAACGACCAGTCTGGGAAACCTCTCCTCACTGGACATCACCAACGATGAGGAACTACCCACAGACCCCAGCAACTCCTCTGACACGCAAGAAGAAAGTGAGTGTTGTTTGGGTTTGGATACAGACCGCCACAAGAACCCAGTCGAGATGAAAAAGTGTAAATGATATAAATATTAGATGAGATTAGGATAGCAATATTTTAACAGTAACTTTTTTTAAACATTATTTGATTTTAGTGATGTGTATTGAGTTGACTGAAACTGAGGGAATACATCTTGAAACTTATTTTGCTTAACTCTTGTGATGTCTGTTATGCTGCTATGCTAGAGTTTTAAACTCAACTGTCTAAACTTGTGGTGTTTTCTTAATTTACTATATTCATTTAAGATTGTCGGCTTTAATCTGATTGTACACTAACTTTGTCTTTACGTGCTAAATGTTATTATAGCCAGTTATGAGTGCTGCAGGGATGATGTGTTTTTGTTGACCAACCCGTTAGCGTAAACCTGGTTCCCTCGACAGAAAGCTTTTGGATTATAGCCGAAAATAAGATGTGCGACAAACAAGAGTTTCTGATAGCTTCACGTTTTGTTCAGCGAGATAATCTTCACTCATGAACACCACTTTTGTGATTTTTGAAGCCTAAATAGAATCGCCAGGGGTAAAAAGCTAATATTAGACTGTTAAGGAACTACACCACGGTCGCATGACTTCAACGTTAGCACCACTAAAGTTCCTTTTTGAAGACACATAAAAGCTCAAAGAAATCATGAGTGGGTTTTTTACTGACTTATTTTGTTCTCGTAGAATAAAACGTGAAAATGTCTTGAGCTTGTGTTAACTACAGACTTTATTTCAACCATTTAACCAAAAACCCATTCAAAAAACCCATAAAGTTCAGGAAAAGAGAACCGGAAGTGCAGAAATATGAATTTATTCCCAGATGTCCTTTGGAAGTTTATGTCCACCACAGCCAAAGATACTGTGCGTGTCATTAAACTCCAGTTATATGCATGCTGTTTTTGGCAAAGTCAGATGATTAACCTGAAAATTACCTCAGAGCTGACAAGATAATGATATGATTGCCTGGAAGTTTAATATTAAGTGCAGAGAGCATATCTCAAAAGATTTTAATGTGTAAACCAGAAACTGCTCAGTTTACTTTCATCCATTCAGGAATAAGCAAAGACATACAACAGCAATTTATGCTAGAGCAAGTGTGATTATTATGATGTCGAATTTACCTCTAAAACAAACATAATTTAATGTCTCAGTGTTTACATTAGGATGCATTTTTAGAGCGATTAAAAAAAAACAAACCAAAAAAGCCCCACTAAGATAACTGGAAAAAAGAATCTAAAGAAAAGTAAATCTTTAATGTTTTCTCCTTGACGTTAAGGTGAAGTGGAGTCATTCTGTGCGGACCTGAGCGGGCGGCTGCACATCAACACTGCGGTCCGCATGAGCGTAGACAAGCTGCACGACTTGCTGTTCTCTGCTGACACACACTTCATCCAGCACCTCTTCTCTCAGCGGCACTTCACCGGTAGGTGAAACACACACACGTACGTATATGTTGGTTAAAACTTTGTATCTGCTTGCACACGCTGTTAATGTGAAATTCCAAATTTTCTCTAGGGTTATACCACTCCCATTGATTTAAACGATGGGATATTGAGACACTTTTTGTTCTGTTGTTTTTTTGTTTTTGTGTCATTGAGCCCATGTTTGACAGATCTCTGCGAGTTCTTTCTCGTGCTGTGAAACTGTGTTTAGCTTTGATGATTATGTGATGTTCCTACATTTTCCAGAATGCAACTTGCATTGACTTGTTGCATAACATTAAGTCCAAGAGAGCGAGTTTTTCCTGTTGATACGGTGACGGTTGAAGCCCGGTAATTGTTGTTGCTCTGCTGTTTACCGGACCGTTGAGGCTGCAGTCTGTGGAAAAATCACTTACACTTCCATTCTTTGTGTGTCTCACTACACCCTGATGTTCGCTATCGAGGTCTCTACTTGTTTTAAACATTTTGTTGCTGATGTTTTTCTTTTTGAAACTAGTTCTTTTGAGAGCTGCCGTGCCACTCGCTCCAGCTGATAAATACAAATGTGATAACTCACCCCCCACCCCTCAGAGACACGCTGTATTGTGCCACTAATGAGGGTGCCACACTAGCTCTTCATGTGGTGTTATCTACCATTTATGATTGGCTTTGCATTGTCACTGTACAACTACTTTATTTTATATATCTGAAGTCATCCTTGCATAAATGCAGTGTGTATTTTAGACATTTCTCTAGTTTAAATGAGGCCAGAGACAAAGCTGTGGAGTTGATTTGGCCAGTGGCTACCCCAGCCAGAGGCCCAGCCCGCTAGGGAACATTGTGTAGCTCTAATTGGGGCATTTCATTCTGTTTTTTTTGTTTTTTTGTTTTTTTTAAGAAGGGAGTGTTTGACCCTCTCTTTCTCTCTCTCTCTCTCTCTCTCTCTCTCTCTCTCTCTCTCTACCCTCTTCAACCTCGCTGGATCTCATGGTCTCTCTCCTTTTCATTCATTAATTCTCATCCTCTCTTTTGCGCTCTCATTTTCACAAAATATCTTGGAACTTGGTGTGTGTCTCTTCTTCTCTCTTCGTCTCACTCACGTCTCTTTTCTCCCTCTCTCTCAGACTTGTCGGTGGGTGAATGGCAGCAGGACAGCAGCAGTGGGAATACCAGCCGTGTGCTTAGCTACACCATAGCCCTCAACAACCCCCTCGGCCCCAAGACTGCCCCTGTGGTGGAAACGCAGGTCAGTCCTTGACAAACACCGGCCTTTTGTAGTTTAACTATTTAGCCCTGTGGCACTCAGGTTCTGTTAAAGGCAAATAACTGGGCAGGAACACTGTGCTTACTCAACCTGAACTGGAGTGGAACTTTCTGTACAGTTGTATTTGGGGATCTTTTAATTTTTGCTTCATATTGGTTCCAGTTCTGGGCCCAGTTAAGGTTTCAGTGTGAAAAGTGATAATAAAAACAATTAATTGTACACATCATGAAAACAAGTGAAGAATTTAATTCAGAAATAACGGATTTGGAAATGATGTTACTGTATACTCAAACCAAACCATTGTGCTGCCATAAAATTAGAATTAGTCCTTCAGTTACAAAGTGGTAATATTTTAGGCACCAGTTTTCCCTCAAAGCATTTTGAACCGTCTTTGTTTTCAGAATTAATGAATCCCATTTTTCTCTAGCACTGATGTTAATTTCCTTGCTGTGGTTTTATACTACTGCTTTATTTATACCGAGCAAAAACCGACAGCTTCACTGCTGTGACAGGGTAATTTAATGATGTACTGTATATACAGTGGTGGTGGTTTTTTGATACCTCAGCAATCTTGGGTTTTACTAGTTGTCATATTGATTTCTGCTTCTCTGGAGCACAAACTTATTTACACTAATTACAGAACAGAAAACTGTAGAAACCAAGAGGTTTGCACACCATTAACTGACTACCTCCACTTCTCTTTTTGCCTCCAGACATTGCATAAGAGCAGTGCCCGGGGCGAGTGCTATGTGGTGGACTCAGAAGTCATCACCTCTGGCATCCCCTACCAGGACTACTTCTACACTGTCCACAGATACTGCCTCACCTCCATCAACAAGCACAAGAGCCGGCTCAGGTAGGTTTGGTGTGGTCTTATCCACGCGGGTGGAATTTTCTATAACTTCACACACACCCATGGACTGTGAAAACAATATTAAAACAGAGGAGCCACGAGCATCACACTTAATGTTACAGAGAGAATTTAACAGAAGCTCTTTACATTTGATCATTGTTTACACATGCGCTGTCAGGTCCCAAAATAAATGATGCAAACTATAATTGAGTGGCTAGGTCCTTTACCCTGGGGACCAGACTCTCTCATTGGCATATGAAATAATCCCATCAGACCTGTCCCTCCCTTGTTTGATCTAGACTCCCTTAGACTTTTTAATACCAGTCCAAACACACAACAGCTAGAGGTGTTTCTTTCTTTCATCACTTCGCACTTCTGCATGGGCAGGACATTACTGGCCAAACATATTGTACATCAGTTGATGACACATCAGCATATTTCCAGTATTTCCAGCGATGGGGTTTTTATTTTTGGCAACACAAATCGTGATGTTGGCTTCTCAGGATCAAAGAGCTGTGGCATCTTCCTTAGCAATGTTCAACAAGAAGGAGACAGTCGTTTCTCCACTGACACTAGCCTCAATAGACTATTATCCAATGGGGCCACAAGACATGTTTTGTTTAAGTAAGGGCTTCGACTGTCTCACACAGCCCTTACATGGGCCTGTATCCCTATATGCCTTTTCATTTGGAGCCTTTTTTCCCCACTAACAATCTGATATTATCTGAATCCATAAAGGAAATAACTGAATAAATTAATAGACTAAATATATTTAATTCTGGTGTAGAGGATTTTTCTTTAAATTATGAAAATTTGTCCCATAAACTCTTCTTCTAATTACTTTCCGTTCAAAAAGTACAGTATAGAGACTGATGAAGTTGCACCATTGGTCAGCCAGTGTGTTGGAGTTTCCCCATTGGCCATTGCTCTTTTGCAATGAATTGGCTCGAACAGTTTCTATTACATCATGGGTGTGTGAATGTGTGTGGGTTTACAGGAAGTATTGCCAACTTAGCACCTTTGTTGTTAGATTTACCGACTTTCCAGACCCAACTTTTTCCACAAAAAAAAATAAATAAATAAAGCAACCAGCAACAAATCTAGTGACTTTTTGGACAAACCTAAGCTACTTTATGTAGAAGAGCGTTACCAGTAATGCCCCACAGATGGCTTGGAAGCGACAGCTAGTTACCATGTAGTCTTAATGGGCTGCGTCTCAGTGAAGATTTCATACTTTTTGTTCTCTGACAAGAGAAACAGGAAAACATATAAATGAGAACTGCTTTATTGGGAATTCAGCTGTCAAAATACTGTATATGTGAGCACAGAGAGCAAGAGAGAAGCAAACAGATAAAGGCTGAAACCGGCTGACACTAGGCAGAGTGCAAATACAGCGCTATGCTGTCATGAATATGCTAATTAGTGTATTGTGTCATCTAGCAACATTTAGCGCCTTTTCCAGCAGGTTTTAGCTACTTTCCATTGAAGGTAGTTGTTTACAGCGGTTCCACAACATTTTTCAACTTTATCCACAATTTCGCACATTGAACATCCACGGTCCAGCCTTATACTAGGGTTTGACCTAATCTTGTATAGAAAGCATCTGTAATAGTCTAAACTATGGTGTGCTGTGATTGGCATGTTGTGCATGTTTTTCTGATTCGCTTTCTTTGGAACATGGATATCTTGATCATTTAAAAACTTGGAGATGTCAGTTAGATTGTCCAGTTTCTAAATTAATTTGCAGGAACTTTTTTTTTTACACAGGTTCCTGCTTGTTGTCAGGCACTGAGTGAAAATAATAGGAAATGAATGATATAAACAACATGACACACTGATCCACACATTAGATTTTCTATATAGGTTTTAAACCCGGTGTGTTTGTTTTTCCTCTGCCCAGAGTTTCCTCAGACATCTGCTACCGGAAGCAGCCGTGGAGCCTGGTGAAAGCATTGATCGAAAAGAACACCTGGAGCGGCATTGAGGAGTACTACAGACACATGGGTAAGTCACATGGTTTGCCTCCTCCACCGTATCTTTCTATACACACGACCTGCGGAAACGAACCCATTCAGGCATACTTCCCTTGTGTAAATAACTGAACAAAAGCAAAGTGAAACTGCTTACGCAGGCCACAGTTGATTATGAAAGCCAAATCCACAGTTCATGTTGGTATGTTAATGCAGTCCAATTACTGTTTACAATCGGTGTGAGCTACTTCTGTTTTCTCTTTTCAATATAAATGGATGTCGAGAGACAGTTCATGGTTTATTAATAGAACAGAGTTAAGGCTACAGTGAGTTTTTGCACCAATGCCACAATTTTTTCGTTAGCTTGATTTGAATTTCTTTTTTTGTTTTTGCTTATTGTGACTTCACTTGGATGTTTGATAATACTGTTTTCACATTCAGTCTGTTTGGCTGTTGAGCCATAGTTAGAGCACGCTGTGACAGTTTGATCAGTATTTTAAATTCCTCCACCTATTTACTTTGCCCCGTGCAGAGAGTGAGGTGTGCAAGCTGGAGACGCTACTGCAGTCTGAGGTCTCCGTGGTGACCACAGGCGAAGCAGTGGGAGCCGATGCTGCCAAGACCCCACCGGCCCTGCGCCGCCGCAAACGCACCTGCTCTCGACGGCAGGGCGAGAGGGAGAGAGAGAGAGATGGAGGAGGTGTGGGCAGCGGGGAGCGAGGGGACAGAGGAGTCGGAGAGGAGAGGGAAAGGAGAGAAGCCAGTAAGTCAGCCGGGATACAGTTGTTGAAGGGCTTTGGGTCCGTGCTGGGATTTCAATCTGTGCCACCGACGTTGACAGCCAATCAAAGCCTGATTCCATCTTAGGTGCAATACTGCCCTCTAGTGGTTCTGTCTGTACTTCTTCTTTGAACCTTGAACTTAAAGGTGCCCTGTGAAGTTTTCAAGAAGTAAAACAAAACAAACGCAGGTCTTCAAAAGTGTTAAAACACATTAATTTAGTTTTCTTTAAAAAAAAAAAAAAAAGCTTTATAAAGTATTAAAAATTTTCAAGAGTCTTAATTTTTTTTCCTTTTAACCTTGGGCGTTAGTGGTGGTTATAAAATGTTTTTTGTTGGTGACTTTAACAAAACTTTGATGAAAACCTCCAGCACTATTGTTCTATTTTTTCATCACATCCATTTTCTGCTGCCAGGTCCAGGTCATATTTATTGATTTATTATATTATGAGGAATATGGCAGGAAGTAGTGATTGAAATAAATGAAAATAAACTGACATTTATCTGACATATCGCACATATTGCACTGTAGATAATTCTAGGCCTTAACATCCCTACTGCTTTTATATACGTTGGTCAGTGTGACTGTGAAACATGTATAGAATCTATGTGGTATTAAAAATGTCTTAAATTGAACATGGTGAAAAGTTATGCTCGACACTGAGTGTTACTCACCAAAACACATTGTGTGTATTTTTGAGGTCAAACAAAAGTGTTGAATTAATTTCCCTCCTCATTAAATATATTTGCAAAAAAAAAAAAACTATTTAAAATCCTGCATTGTTTACATCCACATTTGTACTCATCTTCTTCCCACTTGTGAACCATTGGTAGGACTGTGTATCACAGTGTGTGTCCTCATGCACATGCATGTGACAAACGATACAGGAGCTGCTGCAGAGCACTACAACAGGTTGCAGACTCCACAGGGAAGCTTTTAATGGGATGTCGAGAAATTTTGAGAGCAATTTCCAGACAAAGTTGGGGACTTAGAAAATAAAAGTTAAATTCATAAATGGATAATTTTACTGAAATAATTACTGTTTTGACTCATGGAAGAAGTATTTTAAGGGCCTGGAAACATTAAGATGTATTGCTGTTGGAAATGTACATCCAAAACACAGTGGGAACCCTGATCCATTCCTTTGCTTTTCTTTTTTGTTTTATTTTTAGGTGCTCAGTATATAAAGCTGGGAGAGCGTTCACGTGGTGGAGGACACAACAGTATATCGACCATCCTCCTCATCGTCAGCTTCATGTAAGTTCAAGTGTGTGTACTGTGTGTTTGTGGTCCTGACACCAGACTTTCAGATTCTCAGTTCTGACCTTCCCTTCTGGCTATTTTAATAGGATTTTAATGTTTAATTTGAATGTTTTATGTTTTACTGCGCACTGGTCATATGAATCTTATGTATTCTTAACTAATCATCTCACTCACAATGAGTAAGTCAGAACAGAGATGAATGTTTCTAAATAGATAATAGAGATTCTCTGAGTGTACAATTATAAAGTGGAAAATCAGTAGTCGACACTTAAAAGCATGTGTGTGTCCTTGCATGTGGTCCTCCTCCTTAGTAATACAATACACTCTTTCCTATATTGTGTAATACAGTGCAAATTTAGGAGTTCCCATCTGATCAAATCCCTGGTTTGATTGTATAGTTTTGATTATATTAGCTTTCTGCTGTCTTGGTTCCATCCATGTCTGAATGCTCCCTCATGCAGACATGTTGGATATCGATCTTCTGCATACTAACAGCTTCACAATGCCTTTCTCGCTATTTCTCTTCTTTTCCCTCCTTTCTGCAATACTTCTTGTGCATAGGATCTGTATCAGGTTCGTATAAGAGGCTTTGATTTTATACCAATGGCTGTATAAATATGAACTAAGTATGAAAACGATAATTTTCTCACAGGAAAAATCCACCATTGAAATCTGTTGAGATTGGACGCCTCATGTCTTTAAGGTTTGCTTTGCATTTAGCCATGAAGCACCTTTACGCTGTTGTGTATGATCACTGTATATCAGGGGTGATTCTGTGACTTCTGATGCACTGTGCAGCGGCCCGGGTTCGAGCCGGACCCGTGGCCCTGTGCTGCAAGCCACCCCCTCTCCCTCTCCCTTTCCTGTCTCTCTCTCTCACTGTGCTTTCAGAATAAAGGCAAAAATAACTATAAAAAAATTAAAGAAAAAAGAACAGGTCTTAACTAAATTTCAGATGAAGGTAGAGAGCTATAATAGAGCAAGATGTTTTATGGCTGCATGCATTCTGGTCTATGGTAGCTACTGCCAGTGGAGAAATTGTAATTTGTGTCAGAAATGTGTGATTGTTGACTGATGTTGCAGACTGGTGAGTCTAGGAAAAAGTCTTAATTCTGCTATTAAAATTGAGGTAACTGGTCACAACATCTACATTTGAACGTAGAATACAACATATACCACATATATCAGCAATACGTTGTTTGTTTGTTTTTGACACTGGTATTTGCGTCAGGATGGATTTTTCCTGTAACAAAATTACAGTGTGATATTATTGACAGCTGGGTTGTGTGTAAATGGACCTTGAGGGCATTTACAAACCCTGAAATATTTATGTCTGCTCATTTTGTTCCATTAGTTTCCTGTTTATATCTGAGTGATGCTTTCCATTGCATTTTCACACCAGTTAGTAAATGTTGAAAACTCTCTTCTCTCTCTGTCCCCGTCAGTCTGGTGGTGCTGGTGGCTCTCAACATGCTGCTCTTCTACAAGCTGTACGCTCTGGAAAGAGCGGCCCATACACTGGAGACGTGGCACTCCTATTCTGTTGCTGACAGGTAAACACGCCGCACTGTTTTCCATACAAATGTACGAGACGCTCTGTTATCTCCATTCCTCACCCAGCGGGACCGTGGTGTTAATTGGTGTTTGGTCTCAGGCTTATGGAGCTATTCTTGTGGGATCTGAGGCCGTAATGTCCCTCAGAGTTTTAAGTTACCGCAGAGCGACAGAATGATCCATTGCCTTTTCAAGGTTAAGTAGATGGAAATTAATTTGAAGCAGCTGTAATCAATATTTTTTGTGAATCACACGACTGCTTGTCACTTGTAATGATGAACCCACAGAGAATTATCACCCGACTCTACTGAGCGCTGCGGCGTCCTTCAGCCCATTGTTTTGGTTTTCTGACCCGCAGCTTAAGTGTTTTGATTCACTCGCTGCTCTCATCAGTGTTTTTTTTTTTGGCCACAGCTGTTTTCAGTGAAAAAGCTCTGAAACACAAATGTAAACTACGAGCTCAGCACCAAATGGCAGACGGGACAAAGTTAGCAACGAGCTGGTGAACGTAGTGGAGTGTTCAGCAGCTAAAAAGCCATGTGTTTCCCCCAGGAGTCGGCCGAGAGCAAACGAGCTAATAGGAGCTTAAACATTAACATTCATTAGATGGACATGGACATTAATGTTCCTCTGTATCTGCTGGATGTGTAAACAACAGGCAACTGGTTACTAAAAAGGGAATATATGTCCACCTAGCTTGTTTCTGCTGCCCCCTAGTGTAGGATTAGGAATGACTACTGGCATACAAACATTTTAATGACTGTGCACTTGTCTTGTTCTCTCTCCATACCTCTTCATCTCCTCCTTCCTCCTCCCTCTCTTTCTCTTCTCCTCTTGTTTCCGCCTTCTTCCTCTCCTCAGTCCTTTGCCCCAGACGGCCGGGGAGTGGGCTCAGGTCTTGCAGCTCCAGAGGCAGTTTCACCAGGCTCAGCTCAGCAAGTGGCAGCAGATCCTGCAGTCCTCTGTCACACTTCTCGACCAGGTTTGTGGTTTTTTATCTTTTTAGTCTGTGAGGCGAAATGCTTGTAGTGCACACCTGCAAGGGGACGCATGTGCGCAAAACACAAACTGCCTATGCTCATAATTTCCTAGATGTCTTCACTGCATTATGTAATCCAGCACGTCTGACCTGACCTCTCTCTCACCCCCATCTCATCACCCCGACCATGTTTATCTCCCAGATGAAGCAGTCTTTAGAAAAACTCCACCGGGGTATTGTGGTCCCAGAGGTGCAGCAGGACCCGCCCACTGACACCCTCACAGACCCCCTGACTGAGCCCTGAGCACTACCTCTTCTGGTCAACACCACTCCGACTGTTCCCCACATCTAAATACACTCTGGCGGACCCCTCTTTTCCCTCCCTCATTTCCAAATTGAAAACCAGGTTTGGAACATGCGGGAGGGGAAACTACATTACCCACAACTCCTGACTGACTTGAAATGGCAACGTTCGCCTTCAGCCTCAACCAGTAACAACTTCAGTGAACTCTCACTCAGACTGGAAGCTATCAGGACCACAGCAATAATTTACCTACAGCTGCAAGTCATCTGTATGTCGTGTATGGAAACAGGCCACTGGTGGGCCGACTCACGCCATCCGCTCCTCAAGAATCATAGACACATTTCAAAATGGCCAACCGTGTTTCAGAATAACTTTAATTCCAACCTCCTTCCCAATTTTATGACTATCACAGACTTCGGTTTTCTCTTCTGACCTGCGACGTTTCACAGATTCAGTGATTCTGGAAAGTGGGTGCTCCTCCCTCCAAGTCCTGGGAACAGTTAAGATACCCTTGCCTCTAGTGAATGCCTGCTGAAACAAAAAGGGGAACACCACCTGCTGGGTGGATGTGAGGAAGAAAAACACGTAGGAGGAGAAAAGAGAGTGCTGACGGGGAGCAAGGACGCCTCTCTCGCTATGTCTGCCAGAGATTTTTTTTTTTTTTTTTTCTTTTTTTCTTCTTCTTCTATGTCCGAGTTGCGACCCGCCAGAGGCCATCAACCCTCTGCGAACGGGGACGAGGAACATTTCAACACCAGACACTTTAGTCTTCACCCTGATTTTTAGATGTGAATTGTACATCTGAAGATAAATCCCAAACACACTCCCACTCCTCCCGTTCCTGTCGGGGTTTTATCTTTTTTTCAAAATCAGTGTGTTGGGTTGTTTGTTAGGGCATCAAGCTGTTTCTCGGACCGTTACAGTATTTATTATTACCAATGACTTTTGACCTGAAGTCCTGTCCTGCTCTTAAGAAGTCATGTGGTGGGTATTTTGTGCTCTGATTTGCTGTTGCGGTGCGGACCAAGAGGAGCTACAAGAGAATAATTACTGGTCACAGCAATAATGACAATAGTGATTCTAGTACTTTTTGAATGTTTCAAACAAAGTAGTATATAATTATAATAATAATAATAATGAGGATGTGCGTGAATGTGTGTAGAAGCAGTGAAAAAACCAAGCAAAGAAGATTTTGACTTGAGAGAAGTATGCGTGTGTGTTCATGAGGAGTCCTCACTGTTACATTTTCAGATGTTACATTTTCATATTAGCGTTTCTTTATATATATATATATATATTTTCTTTTTTTGAGATTAATGTTTCAGGTTTAGTTGCTCACTCTTTGTATCACAGAGCCAGACTGTAACAGTTCAGGATTTACCGTAGACTTGATTAGGTAGAAACGTTAAAATATCACAACAGTCAGCTACTTATGGGCCAGACATTTCAAAATAAAAGGACCAACCGGAACTTTGCAGGCCCAGGTGGAGAAAAAAGGGAATCTGTTTTGCAGTATTGTTTTGTTTTGTTTTTTTTGTGTTTGTGTGCGTTTGTAAGATTAATTTGAGTAACTTGTCTTCTCTTTTTATTGAATTCCTTTTTCATTTTCTATCTTTATTATTTTGTCATCTTTATTTGTTGTTTATTTTCAGCCTGTCTTCTTCTTCTTCCTCTTCTTCTTCTTCTTCTTCTTCTCATCACTCAACCCCCACTCTTCCTCTCTTTCCTCTGTGTGCTCCCTCTTCCCATTCACCCGCTCGCTCTCTCTCTCTCTATTTCACTGAAAATAGCGGCTACAGAAGCATGTGGGCCCTGCTGTGCATGGCCATCCGCGGATAACAAAAGGTTGTAATATTTATTTAGGGAGGGAGGGAGGGAGGGGGGAGGGAGTCTGGGGTGGGGGAGAGAGAGAGAGAGAGACAGCTGAGGAGCGGGGATGAGAATGTACTGTAAAGATGTGATTGTACACCACGCCATGGAGAGAAATGAAAAGTTCTAAAACATGCAACAAGTCCTCGCTCGTCTTTGAGTCTGTGTGTGTCTGCACCTTGAAAAGCATTTGGGTCAAATAAGGCTGCGACTGGTAATTAATTTTATTGTCAGTGTGTCTATAATTTTCTTAATAGTTTGGCTGACAAAATGTAATATATATATATATATATATATGTACAGTATAAGAGAAATTAGAAATATTTGTCATTTTTGCTTGGTAAATGGCTGAAACGATTGATTACCAAAATAGTTTCTGATCTCATTTAAACTCTAAATAAACATTGTGCAGCTAAGACAAAGTAAGAAGCCTTTGCTTGATTAAATCAGGGACAAAACCGGCTCAACATCACCGGGTTTAGACAGTGATAAGACGTCGGCCTCTGTAACTCAGCGATCTTATCCAAAGAGATATTCGGTCATGAGATAAAACCACTGACTCGGAGTAGATTTTGTGGGTATGATTTGTGCTAACTCCGTGTTAACTTCTCTAAACCATCTTTCAACAGATCGAGGTAGTTGTAGTCTACGCAGATGGTCTAGAAAGAAAGTTACAGTAGCTGGCGTAGATCACGGAGACACCGGTAATTAACGGTTTACTTCCCTGAGCTCAAGCAGCCTTAGACACTGCTTGGTGGAGAGAGTTTAGTGGGAGAATACTGGTCATGATGGACGATATCAAGGCTTGTTTTCTTCCTATCAGGTCATTTTGCTACCATTTCTTCATCGTACAGGATGAAAAACCGTCAGCAGCAGTGACGAATCACATTATACATACAGATTTTATCAGTTATTTAATCAGCTTTTCATATTCATGCTCCATTAGCTTATCAGTCAGTAAAAGGTTTTTTGATTATTTACTACTTGCTTCATCAGCTAAATGTCAGAAAATTGTTTTAAAAATGTCCAGGTCAATTTCCCAGCGCCTGAGCTGACGTCTTCAAACTGTGTGTTATGCCAAGTCGTGGTGGGTTTCGGTCACACACCCGGAAACCAGCCAGTGATCGACATAAAATGAAGGGCAACAGTTTGATAATAGATTGATTGTTTAAATATTTTTTAAAGCAGAAAGAAAGAAAGAAAGAAAAGTACCAGCTTCACAATATGTGAATATTTGCTAGTTGATAACAACCGTGACTGTTGGACAGACGAGACATCTAAAGATTTTAACTTGGGTTTTTGTGAATAATGATGGACATCTTTTCTCTATTTTCTAACATTTTATTTATTGTGAGGCCCCTTTGTGTCTCGGGCCCCAGGGCAGATGTCCACTTTCAATATTTAAATACAAAATTTACAGTAATATAAAACCAAGAAAAGCAGATGATGAATTTCAAAGAAAAAAAAAACAAAAAACAGTGTTGTCGACCACATGTGGCATGAAGTTCAAAACGACTAAAGACAGAAGGAAATAGGCGCCTTTCTCTCTTGTTTGACTGTTAAAATAAGGTGCTGCTGAACATACAAGGCTAATTATGGCTTAAAAACAACAGGCACCCAGCTGTTGCATCACCTCACCCCTCCATTACCACCCTTCCAACGCAATGAGCAACTGCTTTTTAAACTTATTTTTAGCTTTTGTGAGCGTCAGAAAAGAGGCAAGACGTGTTGACAAATCTCAACTTCTTTTTTTCTCTCTCTCTGATCCTCTGACCATTTCAGGATTATGACCGCTGTGCCCGACACTAATTTACTATTGTATGAATCTATTTTTGAAGAATTCGGTTTCATTCCCCTTTTTCTAAGAGAAAAAATGTAAAATGTATAAATACGCTGAGGTGATGTCCTTAGTATTTTTAATGGAAATGTAGGGTTTTCATGTCCTGAGGAAACTCAACAAAATTATACATGATGGATATTTCTTTGGTTCATTCCAGTTTGTCTGCGACCTCTGACATGAATTAAATATGCATCAGAGTGAGAGTCCCTCCACCTCGCTGCATATCAACCACCTACGCGTCTGCCGCTTACTGCATGTAAGATCAAACAAATGTGAATCAAGCCAGACACGAGGTGATTTTCCATGTATCACTTTTTTTTCTTTTTTTTTTTCTTTCTTTACTGATTTTTATTTTGACAAGCACATTCCCACATCTACACAGGAAGTGAAAACGGCAGTTTTAGTTGTGGCTGAAAGAAAACACGTGGACACAAGCAGACCAACAGTGTGGGGAGCAGCGTGGTTATCGTTTCACTGGCTGGTTCATCTGCGCAGGAAAAGACGTTAACGATGATGTAAACTGATGCAGACCCAAAAATGAATCACTCAGTAGGCAACATACATTTCTTGAATGGCCTTTGAAAGAGATATCACTCCTATCTTTTTTTTCTGGCATTTTTTAAAGATTGAAACTATTTGGATATTCTGTGTTTGTACTTAAAAAAAAATCATGTTGCTTATTCCATCAGCAAGCATGCAGTTATTCTGCATTAATTTATCAGTTTGTGTGTGTCCCCTTCTCAGTATCTCAAAATGTATCAAACTGAGTTTTGGTACAAAGGAGATGAACAGGAAACATGCAACATGGCAGTGTTTGGCTGCCATCTAGTGTTCACCAATGTTTCAATAACTGGTCGTCTGAAGAGTGACGCAAGTGCAGCTGCTTTTTCCTTTTTTTTCTTTTTACAAACACTAAAGGTTTGTAACAACGCTTCAACTCTTTGCTTTTCCCTTTTGGTTTCCACTGGCTTCACCCTGGGAGGCACACTGGACAGATTTTGTGGTACATTTGCCCACGGCAGTTTGATAATAGCAATTTGCCAAGCCCTTAAGTTTCAACAAAGACACTAAGACATTTGTGTGAAGTTACACATCAGTTGGAAAGTTTCCACTGTAGACAAATTCAGCCGATACTGACACTTTCATATAACGCCTGTGTGGGTATTGGTAAAGCTGCATCATTTTTCTTCTTTTTTTTCTTTTGTTGTGATACAAATAAATATTGTGCAGTCATCTTCTCATATGTCACAGGAAGCCACACTGTTAGCCGCACATGCCATTTAAATGTAGCCAGAGATTTTCTCACCACTAAAACTTCTAAACAATTTTGAAGAGCAAATTAAAATGAGCAGCGAGCCCGCTGTGTTTAGCCAGTTGAAACAGGTCGGTCAACATCAACTTTTTAACACTTTTCTAGCTGATTTCTGTGATATGAAAAACATCACTAAAACACAGTCTGAGAATTTAAGAGACAACAGTTTCTAATTGCAGTTGCTTCCCCAGTCCAATGTGAGACATTAAAACCACGACTTGCACAATGTTTTTCTACGACTTGAAACACTTGACAACACTTGAAGTCTTTCTCGAACATCCTCCAGTGACGAGCTCAACACTCATCACAATTTGCATTTAAAACAGATAACATTTCCCTCGGTGAGCAGACGTGTGAAGGTGATGGGCGATCACTGCAGAAGTGACTGAGTACAGCGATTTTCATCTGATGTGTGACAATCGTGACTCATTGGTTTTCACAACTGCTCCGAAGTCGACAGTTCATCTCGTATTTTCACATCTGCTTAACTTAAACCTGCTCTCTAATTCTGTTTGTTTAAATGTCTGAGGAAGAAAAACTAAAAGTTTGGATGTGTTGTCAGTTCAGATATCTGCCAGCTGTGCGGCTCACTGCTGAGATGATGGACCTGCAATTAGGATTTTTTCCCTTGTGTTTTTCATTGATTGCGTCTCATTTTGATCTAAATGTTTTTTTGTTTTCTTACATTTTTAGGCTGATTTTAATGAAATTCTGAGGAAAAATACAGAATACATTACATTTTCTGGCAGTAAAAGTGTTCAAAATGAAACACTTAAGAGAAACTATTAGCTGTTGCAGTGCTGTGTCCTCTGTAGTTTTGAATAGAGTTACATCACAACAGCAAGGAAATTAGCAGTAAAATGTAGTCATACTAGTATTTCAAAGTAAAATAAATGTGTTCCAAATATTCTTTTTTGATGTTTTTTGTGCAAATGTTTTGATTTACCATTAAAAACATTTTATTTGCACTAAAGCTTCATAAACCTACAGAGTAAACACTTCTGTGGAACCCTGACGTCAACACACGGTGTGCAATGAAATGTAACGAAACAGTTTTTCTTTAAAACATGTGACACGACATCTCAAGCTTGTTGTCAGTCATTTTGATAAGTTCGTAAGCATGCAAATAGTGAATATACAATTTAGGCGTATAATATACTACGTGTTCAAATATTATCTGTGCATACTTGTACACCTATATACAGTCCCTCTGTCCCGTCGAACCGCGACCTAATGCATCCGTCCTGACCCTCAGAACAGGATACAGTTCAGTCTTTCTCATCCTTTTTGCAGGAAGTCACTTAAGTAGCCTTTCTGTGAAGATCTCTCTCCTCTGTGGTTCCGCTTTTCCCATCATGTGGAGAGGATGGCAGGAGGTGAGTGATGGTGAGAGGAGAGGAGGGCACGAAAATGGATGTGAGATTGCTCAAGGAAGTCTTGAACTCTTCCTTGACCTGAAGTAAAACACACACAGCAGTCAGATAAAATGAATCATGTACAAGACGGGGTAGAGCTATTTAAACAAGTATTATGATTTGTAAAATAAACAAGAAAGAAGACAAGAAGAAAGTGAATTCAGAGATCTATAGTGAGACTCCAGACCTACCAGTGCTATTCTGCCACTTGTTCACCTGCACAATTATCTTTACTTTCCGATGCTATAGCTAAATACTCGGCCCTGAAGGAAAGAGTGGTAGAAAGGAGAAAAGGAAGAGAAAAACAGGCAGTTAAGATCAGTGAATCACAATCAGAAAAAGATATTAGTTCAGTGAGAAAAAAGGAGAACGTTTGGTGATTGAAAACAGCAGATTGAAACAGATTGAAACAGATTGAAACAGATTGCGTTTCCATTTTCCAAACAATGACTGGGAGGGAAAACGGCGGCCAAAGTGGACGGTGGGAAATCTGGACGTTTGGATGAGAAGGACTGGTACTGGAGAGAGGCTGGCTGCATGTGCGCTTGTGTCTGAGTTTTTATCGGTGTTACTCACGCGCTCTCTCTCAGAGCTTCTTCTCCAGCTGCTGAGATCTTCCTGTAGCAGTAAATCATCTCAACCACCAGCCAGAATTGCAGCCCGATGATGGAGACATACATCATCACCTCAGACAAGATGGATGCCATTCCCCTGGTGACTACAGAGAGGGACATAAGGTAAGATATATTGTATCTCTGTGCTTAAGGAAAGGGGGTTGGGTTTGATTTTGTACCTTTAAAAAAGATGAAGGCAGCCCAGGCCATACATTTTTTAAACGACATGAGACATAATTCATGACCTCCTGCCCTAAATTACATTGTGTCACAATCCATCATTTCCTGAATGCTGCTGCAGATACAGTCAACCTACAGTGTCCGACATCCACAAGGGTTCAATGTTCTGCAGTGAAAGCCCCACAGGTTAAAGGTTACTGCTCATTGTATCCTTGCAGTGAAAATAAAACACCTACTAACCTGCTAACTTTGTTAGTCTGCTGTTCGATGCTGGGAACATCGCGTATGGCAGATTTTTTTGTGCTTTTCTTGCTGTGAAACAAAAATACTGAAACTACTGCCACCCGGAAAAACAAAGATGCTGAAAGGCCCCATTGAGCTAATGAGACCTTTAATGAATTCAAATGACTCTTTAAACCCTTTTTTTTTGACCACTTGGGGGCTGCACAACAAACTGTGAACATAACATTAACATATTATCACGTCACAGAGCTGATATGGTGAACTTGCTAGCAAACAGCTTTTTACATATGCAGCAGGTTCGGAGCAACATTATCATTCATTCAGAGTCATGCTTCTGTCCCCCTGCCAAATATAAGTCAGGTACTCACTCTCTTTTTGGCTCTGTTTTGGTCTCTGTCAACATTGATTCTTTATCAGTTTGTCATCATTTGGTCCATCATTAATATAAACATATTGATTTGAGCAGCTTTAGCCGTAGACTCTGACTGAGCAGCAAGGAAACGCCAATTGTTTTCTGGCCGTCTCATTACATGGTGAATATTAGGTGATACATCTCTTTGAACAGCTGTCATAAACATATTCTTGCTTTTGATGCTTGTATTTAAGTGTTATTTCTACGGCCTGTCATTTTAAGCTGTGGATTATAAATTATTGTGTGTGTATTATTTGCATTTAAAATATTAGTTTTATTTCATTGCGACTTATAATTTTAATAGGAAACATTAATATAACTGTGGTGAGACATCAAAAGCTAAGTAATAAAAATATCACTATAACTTTTAATTAAAGAATGAATATTATTATAGTGAAATATTATAGTGGTTAAGTGTTGTATAAATAATTATATTCTGCTATTACAAACACTGCAAGAATATTCTTGGGAGTTTTGTTCTTGTTTATATATCCATGGAAAAAACACTCAACAACACTGCAGCTCTATAAATAGGCTTGGGAATATTTGAGCTGTGCTTGCATGTCTGTTTATCCTTTTGTTAGGTCTGGGACTCTTCACAAAGCATATAGAGGACAGTGTTTGACTAACACACACACACACACACACACACACACACACATATGCTTTAATACTGTGTTTATACCGTGACAACAGAGCTATCCTTACCTCTTAAAGGAAAACTCCTACCGTGTGTTATTAAATGTCACCAGTCTGTGACGCTGAGCTGTGATTCTGTGTTATAATACTTTTAAACCTGCTGCATCTACTTCTACTGCAGTTAGATTAAATGTGAAAATAACTTTTCCAACAGTGTTTCTCCTCAAGATGCAGGATGTCTTGTGACTGCATTGTAATGTGGATCTTTAAGTTGGTATCTCTGTCTCTTTTACTACTGTTTTCTTCTGCAGTGAGTCTTTTGCTTTCACATTTTAGGGACATACACCAAAACCTGACATATATTGTTAAATTAGGTGAAAACATTTTTTCTAATTAACCGGAGTCTTCAGATCCAGTCACTGCCATTCATTCTCAGAAAATGTTTTTTAAACCTGTTTGATATTTGCCCCATTGAAATCATTAGCGTGCTGCAGGAGGGAGACATGGAATAAATGAATGAACAAAGGAGAAGAATAATGGTTCGCAAAAAGAGAAAGTGTTTGATCGTATGTGTAGAAATTGCTGGGAGCAGTTTTTCCTTGTTGCTTTAATGAGACAGAAATCAACGGCAGATTTCAGTGTGAATTTTAGCAGCAGTTATCACAAGGACTGAGGAGACAGACAACGGGTGTATTCAGACAATCGGACAGCGAGTGGCTGTTTCCGCAGACTGCTTACTGATGTAGCTATGCTGTCGGAGGAGTAAACAACCACCTACAGAGGTGGTTTCAGCAACTGGATTTCAATGTGCCTCGTGGATATATTTACACTTAGCCAGCTGATCTGATCCACTCAAGATATACAGGGGTAAATGAGGTCAAGGTTTGTGGTGTGAGAGCCGTAGAGTGGTAGACAACTGAAATGTAGGGGAAAAAAAGTCCTACTGCTATTTTGGCCTTTTCAGCACAAACTGTACTGCATATAAACTGTGCAAGCTGATGGTTTGTTTTGGTATTAGACCACTCAATAAATGACCTTCGTGCACAGTTTGTTAGGCCGTCTACTGCCCACTGTGTGTTGTCTAGTGTTCAAATGTCTCAGTGTGACATCATGTTGTCCCAAACCATAAAAATGGATCTAGAAATGCAAATCAGTGGTGATGTCAGTGGTTTTGGCTAATTTAATTGAACTCTTTCCTTCTCAAACATGCAGCACAACATCCCTCCCCTCTGCTCTTACGTCGTGGCACCACGTTAATGGTGATATTCTTGCGAGCGTTGGTTTGAAACTGGTAGTTGGGGTACATGAGGATCCGGTTGAATATGCACTGGTAGGTTCCCGTGTCGTTGTAGGTCACATTGAGGATGTAGATGGAGCCGTCCTGCAGGTCCCTGGTCTGCTTGCTGCCGTTCCAGCGCAGACGGCCGATGAAACGTGGGTCAGTGGTATTGCTTCCATTATCATACGTGTATATCTGGAGGAGAATAACAGGATGGGAGGCAAAGCGAAATAGATTCAGCAAAGTGATCTGAAGGTATTCAGATGTGAGGCCTCAGAGGCCTCATGGTGTTCCTGCATCTTTCTAACCATTTGCTAGTCATGTAAGCTTTGCATTATGTCACCTTTGACCTCTTACACATCAGCACCAGGGGACTGTTAGAGAATAGCTGTGGTCAAGGTGCTGAAGTGCCACCAACTGCAGTTCTTCGAGTGGCCACTTGAGGCTGGCTCCAAAAGTGAGTCCAGCCCCAGAGACTCCCACGTTAAAAATGACTTTACAGCAGAACTAAACATGTTTACAACTGTATGGGTGGTGAATTTTTATATAACTCACCCGTTTAAAGTTTATTAAGGCTTAAAGTTCTGCATAATCGAGGGTGCTTTGAGTGACAGACGAGTGAGCGTATGCCTGCCACAAACTGGCATCCATTGAAGCCCCGGCTCCACACACGCCCCACCTCTTTGCCCATTTCTGGATCAGCTGAGGGTTAGGCGGAGTCAGGCCAAGATGGCGATGGCAGAGCAGCCCACTCTGAGCTTCAAAGGCGCTCTTCAGAAACCTTTGTGTGACGTCACAGAGGCTGCGTCTGTCTTTTTACAGTCTATTATTCAGATTAATTCATTATTTTTTACTTTTTTATTTACACATGTAAATAAATTCAACTGCAACAGAAAGCTGCTGGGAATTTTATTTTATTTTTTTTTGGATGCTGTTAGATGTAAGTTGATTTTTCTGTGTTGAAATGAATATGTCAAGTTTGCTTTTCGGTTTTCCTGTCATACTTGAGGACAGACAAGCTGGTCTCCACATCACCAATGCTCCTTATTAACCCTGTTATTGACCAGGCTGCAGTTACGCCCTCACTTATTCACTTCCTGGTGAGTTAGTGGATACAAATTCTAAATGACAGCTGAGGGCTAATGGGATCTCTCCTATCAGCCCATATACCATAATGGCCTCTTTACTTTGCTTTGCCTGGTGAGGACTCCTTAGGTAAGCAAAAGTGCTGCCTTCCAGCCAACACAAAACAGGGGGCAAAAAAAAGAAAAGAAAAAAACCCCTCATGAAAAATGCAAAACTGTGCACTCTCTCATGTTAAATGCATTGTAGCTGTTTCCCAGAAGAGAAGACAAACAACATCATTGTGAAGGATGTTTGGGGATTATTTTACTGCTTTATCTGGACACCTGATAACTAAGCTGTTTCCAGTCTTTGTGCTAAGCTACGTTAACCAGCATCAGGCTGTAGCTACATATTTACAATGGAGTGAGAGACTGGTACCAATCTGCTCATTTAACTATCAACAAGAAGAACTATTCCTTTAATTCATTAATAAGTACTGCTTTTGCAAGGTTTGTCTTGTAATATTTCTTGTTACTACTTACATGGGAGAAGTTGGATTCATCCAAAGCCTTGAAGTACCAGTCAACAGAGGCCATGGCGGGCACCTCGCCCCTCATCTTACAGGAGATGCAGCCCAGTTTGAAGCCTTCATTGGCCACAGCCTCTGTGTCTGAGTCCACCTCCACGCAGGCTCCACGGCACAGAGATGCTACAGAGTGAAGAGGGTGAAGACCACACAGTGAGAAACCCGATATTATCACTTTTTTTTTTTTTTTGCTCTCTGTCTATTTGCAGGCCACAGGTTTCAGAGGTAAGAGCCGTGGGCGGCCATCATCCTCTTTTTCATGTACCCATGACTCGCGGGGGAAGGTTGGCACAGGGGCAGAGCTCTGGTGTTTGGCAGTATCTCAGTACTTGCAGGCAAACTGTCTAAACAGTACTTTACAAAACAATGTTAGCTACTGTAAGTTGTGTATTTTTGCGTGCTTGCTCCCAATGCTCATTGCATGCGTGTTTTTTTTTTTCTTTCTTATCGGGCATAGCTTTATTCTTGCATTTTTTTTTATTTCCACTCACCATTTCAGTTCATAGATTGTTGTGAATTTGAATAATTTGGCCTTCAGTTTTGTGGTAATTTACATTTCAGGTGTTTTTAATCTGTGAAGCTGAGGGGAAATAAAGAGGTTGCAGTGAGCGATACTATTTTCTTGCATTCTGTCAATTGGTATCTGAGCTAAATTCATATATAGAAGCGTGAGTCTATATATGCCATCATCATCATGACACATACTTCTCATCGGCCAGGAGTTACACACCTGTAACTCCAAATGTTTCTTTCTCACACTGCACCTTGCAGTTTCCACTGAGGCCTCAGCATCGCTCTCAACCAATGATCGTGTGCTATTCTCAACTTTGACCTCTGGGGCAGCTTTTGTTTCGAATTGTAAGATGGAGGGGGAGGGAGATGAGGGAGAGGACAGGAAACACATAGCACAACGCTGATCAGATGAACTCTAGAAATCCTTATAAGTTTGGTTGAGATTCACAGTGGCTGCACGTCGTCCATATAAACAAATATAGAACAGCAAAGCTCGATTTTTTTTTACTCCCTGGGATACAAACATTGCAGCGCCATAGAGAGACATTAAAAAAAAAAAAAAAATTACACAAATAGAAATGCCACCACACTGCAGAGAAAGAGATGGAAGGGGAGGAATGACGGAGGAAGGAAGAAAGAGAAAGTTAGCACAAGCTTCAGTAGTAGCCATTTCTACAAAAGCGTGGGGAGATGGGGGAAGCAGGGGAGGAGAAGCCTAATGCTGGCTGAGGCACTGCGGAGAGAGAAGAGGGAGAGAGGAGAAAAAGGGGAAAGAGGAGAAAAGAAGGTTAAGAACATAATGCAAGACTTAACAAGCCCAGAAATATAAACCCAAAAGTAACCAAGGTAACTGGCTCCACTGCTATCATATTCTACTATAAGAGACGGACCCGTGCATTTAAAAGCAAACACAGACCCGAGCCGCCCAGCTGGACCCGAGATCGACTGAACCCGAGCCTCAGCCTGACTGAAACTGGTTTCATTCCAGCCCAGGCCGCATTCGAACAAGTTATCGTCTGCATTTTGTTCCGATGGAGAAAAAAATACAGCATGTGCTGATGAATAATTTCATCAGGCCGTGCTGGATCCGCTGACCACCTGAAGGTGAACGCCAGTTTCATAAAACTTGGCCATTGTTCTTGTTCATAGTAATGACACTGTTCTCACTAGGATAGTCGCTGAGATCTGGGAAAGCAGCAACATCTCTGAACAGACATCAGTCACATGACCACACAGGTCATAGGTTGAAATCAAACTTTTTTTTGTTGTTGTTTACTTTTTGATAGTAGGAACTGTTGACTTGTTTACAACCTGTCTACAAGGCTGTGTGCATTGTTTCATGCACCATCAGACTGTGTTGTTGCCCAGTCGTGTTCCCAGATCTCTGTAATTATTTTCATGAGAACAGTGTTTTAATAAGGGATTAAAACAATGACCAAAATAATTGTTGTAATGAACTGGAATTTCCCTTTAACGTCACATCTACACAGACTGAAACCCACCACAATAAGACAAGGAAGGAAAACGTAAATGTCTGAAACCTACAGAACAGGGATCGGTTAAGGCTGGGGTTTTCGGGTTTTTGGGTTTTCGGGTTTTCTGGGCAGCGGGTCTCCTGAGGACCTCTAGATTAAAACAAACAGACCTGAGGCAAACAGCATTTGCTAATTCATTATCTGAACTGCTTATAAAACAGGTGCACTTATTCACAGAAAAGAGGAAAATGTAAAGTTATTACATTATTTTATATTTCTCAGTTTCATCTCCACTCTAATTAGCTCTCTTGTCAGTTGATTGTTTGAGTTAATTATACGCTGCTGTAAGCTGCACCAGCTGTCAGTGCTGCTGCTAATCCTCGGCTGCCAATAGAGGTCGATGAAAGACATTCATCACTCAATGCCCCTGTGAAATCGCACAGGAAAGCATTTTCATTTCAATTTGAAGTTAAACATTAATATGCAGTGACTCAAGTCTGTTAGAGATTCTAGGGTATCAGCTTCTACTGTGTAGAAAAGACAGAGGGGCAGAAATAGACAGAGAGGCAAAGAGACACCAGACAGACACAGGAGCAAGGCATCCCATGCAGAAAACACACAGGAGGGTTCGAGATAGCTGGCACATTGAGTGCTCAGAGGAAAGGTGGTGAGACCTGGAACACAGGCAGAGGAGACACATTACAATGACAACAAAGCACATGTTTGACGGACAGCAAGGGAGAAATGTCTGAACAAGGAGAGGAAGAAGAAGAAGAAGAAGAGAGCACTTTAGTTGCAGGATTGAAGGAACAAAAGAAGAGCAACGAGAGATGAAAACCCAGCAGGAACAGCGGCACACACAGACAGCGTGAGGCAGTAATCCTGAGGGAGGTTGGTGACGCAGCGAGAGGCGAGATTGTGCAAGGTGAGCAGGGAAGCTGCTGACTGTCCGAAGCTGAGACAGCAAGTGAAGACGACAGAGAAAAGAAAGAGCGAGAGAGAGAGAGAGAGACAAACATGCGAGCAGACACTCAAGCAACTGCACATCCAAAGTGCAGACTAAACAGAGTCAGAGCCGTCAAACTGCCTCAGTAACGATTCTCACTCACAGTAGCAAGACACACACACACACACACACACGCACCGAGCATCAAAAATGCAAATCCATTGCGTAATCTGTGGACTGAGGTTCAGGATTATGCAACGGATATTCCAGAAATTGCAGATTAGGAGGTTTTTTTTCCCTGACAGGGGGGTGGTTGGTTAATCCCTTATATCAGTTGCTGTGGAACCCATCAGGCCTACAAAGCAAAAAAAACAAAACTAAAAAAACTGACTCATAGCTTTAGCACCACAAAAGACCATCCACCTACTGACGTTAGCTAGCTTAGCATGTTGCTGGGAGCTAAAGGAGATACAAAAGGATCGAGGTAATTTGCTGAACTGGCCGTAAGAGAGAGCAGGAGAAAAGAAAATTGGATAAGCGACAGCAAAAAAAGATCAGGGAGGACAACATCTGTTTCCATGGCAAGGTTACTACAGACATACACACACACACACACACACAAACACACACACATACTGTAGGCATACATGACCTAGGGAAATGCCAAGCATCCATGACATTTCCCTTGACACCAAGCAAGCAAGAGACTTTCCACTGCAACTAGTGGACCACTGAAGCACGCTGCTCTGTGAGCCTCCAGTGTACGAGTGGAGTGAAGAAGTACGTCACTGGTGCTGATAAAGCATCGTAGCAATGCCAGCACTCATGAGCTTCATGCCTCGCTTCTTATTGGTCTGCTTGTCTCCGGGATATCAGCTCCCTCTGCTCCTTTTTTTTCTCCCCTGATTTTCTTGAGTGATTGTTAGAGAGCTAATTTTGCTTTAGCTGTATGGCTTCTTCAGTGTTTCTTCTCTCTGCAGCGGTGTTACGTACAGTGTTGAGTACTGATGGTTTAACGTGTCCTCATAAAGTGCTTTCGCAGTCGATACTGGAAAACCGCTAAAATGGAGGATGAGCTGATCAGATTAAAGTTTTTTGTCTTGACAGGTTTACCTCACAGTGGCAATTTTTGGTATTGAGACAGGAATCTTATAATAATTCATTTTACAGTATTTTGAGCACTATGAGAAATGTTTACAAACTGATATACTGGGATGTAATTATTAATACAGAACTTTATGTGTACCGTTACTTTAGTTGAAAACAGTATGGGTCAGCGTCTAAACACGTCTGTGTTCATAACATTTAGTTTTTATTATTTCCAGAGGGAAGTAAGAAAGTATTTTTTCCAAGAAACATGAGAAATTTGAAGAAATCTGTTTTCAGCTCAACTATAAGCCAATATTTCTAAATTCTTACTTACGCCTTTGTTCTTGCTTTTTGCAGTTTGACGCTGATCATAGGAGCGAAAGAAAGTGCAGAGCAGCACATTTATTCAGGGCAGAGCAAAAATACTTTGCTATTTTGATGGTGTTAATGATAATTACTGACACAGCTGATGAGTTCCCTGATACAAAGTGAGTTGTGTGGAAGGTTATTCTGTCCTTCAAAGCTCCTCTCGCTCCTCTGACTCCCACCCCCCTCCAGCTGCTACAGGGCACCCTGGGATTACAGACCTCACACAGCTGGATAAACACGGGCTCAGGTGTGTGTGTGTGTGTGTGTGTGTGTGTGCGCACGCGCGCACGAGTGTGCATGTATATTTGCATGTCATGTGTGCGACACAAGTGAGCAGGACGCATGCAGCCTGCAATTAGGTCACGGCACAGTATCTCGCTCCAGATTTGTGGGTTAGAAAAGGATCTCGCAATAAAAAAAAGAAAAAAAAAAACCTCAAATAGAATCAAAATGAAACTCCCATCAGAATTAGATCCATGCAGTTGTGAGGCTGCACAAGTGAACGACTGTTATAGTTTTGAAAATCACATTCATGTTTTTGCTCAGATTGCAGGGCCGCTCAGATGGAGTGCATCAATCAAGAGCTCCTTGTTCACAAAGTCTGCTGCTTGTACGGAGAAATAAATATAGAGCCAGACATCCTATACACTGTGTGTAGTAGCCAGTGTGGAACGGGATGCTAGAGCCTTATTTTATCAGGGGTTGTGGACATACTCAGCTGGTACAACGGGCGCATTTAGTTGTCACTCAAACACTTTGAAGAGTACAGATAATGTTAAATTATTCAACTTTTCTTCTCTTTAAAAAAAAAAAGAAGATTTTCAGAGCTGTAGATACTGAAGAAGCTGCAGAAAAACTAAAATAAAATTATTTCACAACATAAATTCTAATGTGTTTTTTTTCCCTATTTTAAGACTTTGGGAAAAACTACAATTTGTGTCACAATTCAGAGCACAAACACTTTTATAGACCAGGCCGTATATCAGACTTAATTGTCTTTTAAAAACTTGCTGCAGTGCATCACTTGAATGTCTAATTGGTTTATGTATCCACGCCGGCATCTTAAAATGATGAGCGTCTCTGTAATGTAATTTCCGGAATTCTGGGATGGAGTGAAGGAATGGACATGAATCCAAATGGCCTGACGCTGTGGTTGTTCAAATATCCTGTTGACGGTGATCTCCTTTGACCATTACTTCATACTCAACCCATTTGCAGACTAAATGGCTCCAGGGTGCGACTGCAGACACAAAGAGTCTCTCTGCTGCATGCATTAGGTAAAGTTGCCAACAGATGCATTAGGTTTTATGAGCCTGTGTTTGGCGGCGCAGGGAAACACAACTCTGTCAACTTACGGCTCAGTTTGTGTCATTTTTCAAGACAAAAACGCGCAAAATTACATTTTATTGTCGTCGCTGGTTGAGTGTTGTTTGAAGGGATTTTTCTATCTTCGTGACTCTTTTTAAAAAATGAAAAACATTTCTTTGTAATTTATGCATCTTCAGCGCTGATGTTCAGAAAAGAGTCTGAACTCTATCCACAATATAGTCGGTCCCAGATGAACCTGGCTGCAGCTCCGCTTCAGGCTGGTTAAAAATGTTCTTTTGTTTTCAGAGACAGACAGTTGGTATTTGCACTTTTATCTGTGGATTACTGTGGAAGATCTTGTTGTTACATTTGGAAAGAGAGGAGCTGAATAGTTTTTCATTTCTAGTTTAATTAACTTTTTCTTTTTTTTTGGCATTTTGAGCGTAACAAAAAAAAATGTTCACATACATATGGAAATGACAGGATGAGCCACAGGTGATACGTGTGTGTTCTATTGTATTTTTGAGCGTCTCTTTATTTCTCCTGTTCTTATTCTGATTACATTTGTCCTCTGCAACTGACACCAAACTTTATTTAGACGGAGCTTAGTGTGATGAAACATGGGTGGAGCTTGTGATAATCACCAAATCATCCTAGTTAATATTCAACTATTGTATTCATCCACTGCCTTTCAGAAACAGTCTTTAATTCCATCTCATGTTTATTTTTTTATCAGCACATGCAAATGCACATTTCAAAATAAAAAGCTGCTATATGCTGCTATTTTTTTTTTTTATCAGCCTCAATCTGTTCCTTTTCCTCGTCTTTTGGGAGATTCCATCCAATTTCCTGTCTTGCCTTATATCCTCATCCTCACTGCGTCCAGCTCCAGATGTGCTCACTCACTTCAGACCTTAACTAACCCGCCGGCCCTTCAACCAAACTGTCTATTTCTGTCAATCGAGGTTGTATAACCTTCTTAATATTTTTTTTTTTTTTTTTTGCCAGGCTTCACTATTTGGTTCCTGGCTCAACTTTCTGCAGCTCTGCTTGCTGTCGTGACAACCTCGCATCTTAAATGAACTGCCTCTTCATTTAGAGGAATAACGACATTACTGTGATTTTTATTCTTTTCGAAGGTCTGTGGACTTTTGCATGCATGTGTGGTCACTAGTATTGTCAGTGACAGAGTGTGAGACAAAGAGCAGCTGGCTGACAGACATAAGTGCTCAGTAAATCTCTCTTTTAATGCATTGCCTCATTTTTGTGCTCGATTTCAAATCTAAGTGCTTAAAATAAGATTATCTATGACGGCAACATGTCATCTAAAAAACTTTTAATATGTGCATGTTTTTTTTTTCTTTTTTGAGAAACATATTAAACTTATATTTTCTTTGGTTTTACTTGGTCTGGGTTTCTAAAAAGAACAAAGTTTAAAAAAAAAAAGTAAAAGCATTTGAAAAAAAAAAAGAATCTTCCTGCGTTTCCATGATTTTAACCCATTCACCAAAAATAAACCAAGAGGCCGTAAATAAACGCTGGCTGCGACTGTTAATTTGTTAAGATAGTATCATCTTGTGAAAGATTACTTCCCTGCTTCTCCTCCTGTGGGTGTCAGGAGACTGACAGTAACGTAGAGGTGATGGATTTTCTAGCTCAGGCCATTTTCACATTAGTGGAAAGTGTTTCTGCTGCTATAAAAGAATAAATGGCAGGAAACAGCCTTTTGTGAAGGTACATTGGGTCGTGATATCTCAAATGATGCAGATACCAGCAGGAGGAGCGGAAAGATCGAGGGAAACTTAGATGATTGGCACAAATTTAAAGGGAAACTTTCTATTTCGTGAAGCTAGTTTTCTTGGGTATCGGTATATAGGAACATTTGCTGAAATCACTCCATTAACTATTAACTGATCTAGAGCTTGTTGATGAATCGATAAGTTTTTACAGAAAATCAATCAGCAGTTATTTTTATAATGATTCAGTATTTAAGCAAATTTTCGAGCGAAGGCACAAAATTCTTTGGTTCCAGTTTCACCAATGTGAGGATTTGTTGCTTTTCTCTGTTTTATGTCGATGTAAACTGAATATCTTTGGGGTTTTGACATTTAATGATGTCACCTGTCAGGCATGTTTCTCTATTTTTTGTTGTTGACATTTTATAAACCAATTACAAGATTGAATGAACAAGAATTGTCATATAAATTGATAATGAAAATAATCATTTGATGCAGCCCTGAACTGCAAAACAGACACATAGACACAGACGTCAGAGAGACACTATGGCCAAGTCTAACACACAGCAATCTGTGAATAATCTACATTGTTCTAAGTCTTTGAAGAGACAACGGCTGCTGTATCTCTCTCTCTCTCTCTCTGTGTGTGTGTGTGTGTGTGTGTGTGTGTGTGTGTGGGTGTCTGCCGTCCATTTTAATGGCCCCACATGGCCTCAACTCATTATTCTGAAAAAGGAAAAAAAACCCTAAACAGCTAGGCTTTTAGTGAGCGATCCAGCACAATGCTGGAACCACAAACACTCACANCACTCCCACACACACACACACACACACACACACACACACGCACACACACACACACACACACACACACACACACACACACACATCCATAAACACACACTCAAACTCGAGAGAACCCCCAAAACACTGCCTATACTATCAGAGCAGACAGGGCAACGTCAGACAATAGCAAACACCTCAGCAGTAACACACACCACAGACAGTGAAAGGGAGATTGGATGGTGGCTCATATGCATGCCAAGGTGTTGCCATCATGGCATCGCCATGGCAACACAACCACTGCCCACTCACCTTGAAGCGCCAGAAGGGCCAGAGGTAGCAGCAGCAGCCCTTGTACTGCAGACATCCTGACAGGAGAAAGAGGACTGTTGGCAGCTCTCAGCGGTGTCAAAACACACCACACACACACACACACACACACACACAGCAGAATGGGATACACACAAACAGACAAGACAGATCTACAGCAGCTATTCCAGTTTGATGACACCAAAGATGTCCAGACTAGGATTAAAAGTCTGGGAGGTGAGAGGAGGAGACTCTTTCCTGATGTTGTAGGGACACTGGGTGTGGTCCACTTGGGTGTCTTCTTCTTCTCCGCCTTTTTCCTTTCAGCCGATACAAGGGCTGGAAGAAGGGGTGGGCGGGTCCTCTTGCTGATCCGGTCCTCTTAAGCACCTGAAAAACCTGACAACAGCACTGTGGAAGCTGCGCCGCCTCGTCTCTTCACATCCCAGGATCTAAATCACTCTTTTTAGCCAGAGAGTCCGTCCAGCCTCTGAGTGTGTGAACATATAGAGTTACCAGAGGGAGGAATCACTCAGAGTTTCAGGTTTCGGCCTGTTGTCCCTCCAAAGGGCCTTTGTTCAACTATTTATACTCTGTGGCACACCCCTAGGCCTCCGCAAAGAGACTGTGTGCACTATATAATGCCAGTTTCCTGACTCGCAGAGTGGTCAATAAATGGCACTGTCAGTGATTAACAATAAAAGCTACCGGAAGACGGATATCTTAGGTTGAAAAGACGGTTGATCTGATAGGGGATGATGCAGAGGTGTCCAATGGAATTTGTGCTGGAGATGGAAGACGTGGTAGAGACTCGTGCAATGGAGCTGGGGTGATTGTGCAGTTCAGAAAAGTCTGTTAAAATGTCAAAATGTTGCATGCACGGAGAGGCCTTCGACAGGAAACACTCAGCTGCACTTCTTTCCCCTCGTGTACGACTGCAGATATGACCTGAGCAAAAAAGAGGGTCTGTGCCTGATAGAGCCACAGTGTGAGTGAAATGGCAAATGGAAGAAGAGTGAATTGTCCCTTCGCTTGTTTCCACCTCTCTTTGGCTTTGGAGGAATTTACAATTATCACCTTGTTTTTCTTATTGCCTCAAATCACTGTTATTGCTTTCTTTCTTCCTCAGTCCAAATTGCAGATTCACCACTACATCTCTTCAGGTAAAAGCTCTAGTCAGCGATCAAGGGCAGAGTCTGGTTGCTTCTTACTTGTTCAAGTGAAACCATCCGCTGTTTGAGCACATCATTTAAGCCATATGGTTTTGTTTAGCTGCTGTCTGCGCATGGTGCTCAAAGGCTTGACGGCAGCAGCACAGGTGGCTCTGCTGCTCAGATGGGTCACCAGCACATGTAACCAGTCTGAAAGGCAGTTACAGAGGGGGGGGGGGTTATTTACACCGCCTTCTGTGCGTCTTTGGAGGCTAAAAAAGAAAAGTGCGCTGCTCTTATGTGCATTCCTGCGGTGTGGCTATGAAATAAGAATAGGGTGTGACTGCGTTTGAACTCGGGTGATCATACAAGAAACTACAGTTAACTCACGAATAGTCTTGAATCAGTGAATTTGCTGAAAACAAAAATGCATAAAGTCTTGTATGTCCTTTTTACAATTCCCATAAACGCAGCAGAGCTGAGCGCAGTTTTCCTGCGTCTTCCTACCTGTCACCTCTTTTATCAAAATCCCCGATACAAACAAAAAATCACGCGCTTTTTTCCTCTGATATCCTTCAAAACGTCTCGTCCTATTTTTGGGTCATAGGTGGACGGCTTCCATCCCCGGGTTCCGTCACGCAGTCAGATGCTGGAAGTCCCTCCGCTGTCACACCGGGGACCATCGGAGAGATTTTAGTATCAGGGGCACGACACAGTGAATAAAAAAAATAAAAAAAATCAGCTTTTTCTTCCTTTCGCCTTCAAGAAGAGACACGCGGAGGAAAATGTCTTTCCTCCTGGAGATGCTGACGGAAGCGTCAAAATAAAAAAGAGAAAAAGCGAGTGTGGGGTCGGGGGTGGGGGTGGGGGGGGCACACAAACACACAAAAAAAAATCTGTAACCTCCAGAAATTACATGGCGTGTCAGTGAAAGGATGCCGCGCAAATCAGTCTGTGGGATGGGTGAAGGCGGAGGAGGAGGAGGAGTAGGAGGAGGGAGAGGTACAGAGCCGTTGCTATGGCAACAGTGATTTTATGTGATGTTTTCATCACTTCCATGAAACCCCCACGTGTTGGCGAAGAGAACAGTCAGGTCTTAAGTGTGCCAGTAGAAAACTACAGCATAAGAATGATAGAGCGAAATACAGAGAAATTTTGAATATATATTTAATTTGTTCGTGTTTCACATATTTGCATTTGGCAACATTTCGAAATGTTTATAAAATCTTTGCAATCCATAGGTTTTGGTTATCCTATATGTTATTTTGCATACTTCCACAAAAAGCTTAGTAACTTAAATTAAAGTTATGTTGCAACACTAAGTGACTGATGTGTAATCAGCAGATGGGGACCAACATGGTTGTGTATTTACAAAATGCAGAGACCAATCAACTGTTCCTGCATATTTTGTGCCATTGAGATGAGATGACAATGACAAACAGACTCTTTTCTGGCGGCAGTCGATGTTTGTTTCTGCCTGTTTGACATCAATTACACCAAGCACATTTAGAGTGGCCTCGTTTTGTATAGTGTGTTTGCATGATTATGGGAAATTATTATTAGGTACACAAGAATAATAATTGTTATATAATATACAGTTGTTGTTTTTGTTGTTGTTGTTGTTGTTTGATATAAAAGTATCTGAACGACCCAGAATTCCAGGTTTAATGGTAAAACCCAGCACTTGGGTCAAATCAACCCCAGCATGTGTTCCCATAGTTACCCAGTGATGAGGTTAGGGTTGGGTTATTTTTTAACCCAGCAGTTTTTTGAGTGTATCATGACTATAATGTGATACTATTTAAAGTTTTACACTGGATTATGGATATACAGTTTATTATTACCAAAAATCAGAGCTTGGAATTTAAATGTTAAAACGTTTTTACTTATTTCAAAAATGTGGCCCCCTTCTTTAAGACTGTGCGCCAGTCTGACCAACCTGTTCAAGGATTTCTACACCTACTCCTGATTAGTGAACAGTTCTTTTGAAATATATAACAATAGCATAAGGGATTTATCATATACAGTGTATCGCTGCTTTAGCTCATGTCAAATTGACCTTAAACTTTTGGTGAATGTCTGGTGGATGTTCAAAAGGTTTCTCTTAAAAAAAAAAAAAAAAAAAAAAAAATGTTTTTCTTTAAATAACTCACTAGCTGCAGGGAGAGTTTCTGATTTAATCACCTCAGCCACATTCTGTCTTCACCTTATGTGACATTTAAACCGAGAATGGCCGGGCTTCACACTTTTCTAGCCAGTACTGCTTTTTATCTTAGTCATCAGGCCAGATGTACAGGCGTACAGACCACAGGTGCTCTGATGCCCTCAAATCAGTCCGCCGTGCGTGCGTGCGTGCGTGCGTGTGTGTGTATGTGTGCGTGTGTGTGTATGTGTGTGTGTGTGTGTATGTGTGTGTGTGTGTATGTGGTGTCCTGATCTCTCGTTTTGGCCATTTCATTATGCCAGCAGTGAGGATTACTCTGCTGATTGCATCCCCGTCCTCGCGCTGACAAATGTACCGTGTGTGTGCATGTGTGTGTGGGTGACCTTCCTCTCTGTAATTCCACCAACATCCCTGTTCATTTTTTTTTTTCTTAAATATATGGATTAACTTCAGTCACAGCAGCAACGCCAGTGAGGACGAATGAATATCACTCACTCAATATGACACATTTAGGATGAACTTGTTTTATCATGTGCCACGTTTTTGCTTTTTGCTCTTAAAATCATCTTGATTGTTACTTGTTGTTTAGGTTTATGCTTAAAACAGCGAGTGCCGTACGGTTGTTTGTATGTCTAGTTATTATTTATATGACAAAAGAATAAGGAAAGGGAAAAAAAAGGGGATCACTCTGGTTGCCTTTTGTGCAACTGCCCTCACTCACCATTAGAGGGAAATAAAGTAACACTAATACTTTTCAATAAAAAAAAAACAGAACTACAACTACAGTTAAAGAAATGATGCTGCCAAAAAAAATCAGACGTAAACAGGTGCATTTGCACACTCTACTTTTCTTGTCAACAAGGTGTTTCCATCCACAGAGCTGCTGCTTACTGGATGTTCTTTGTTTTTGCCTCCACTCGGAGTAAAAACTCTATAGCAACTGGTGTGTGTGTGTGTGTGTGTGTGTTTATGTGTGACAACATGCAGTTTCAGAAACGGTAACACCTCGTCCGTCTGATATCTCAGTTTTTCCACATTCTGATGTTAGATTTGAACATTAACTGAAGCTACTAAACTGCATCTGTGTGATTTGCACCATTGCACCGCTGCCACATGACTGACTGATTCAGATTTAAATACAGTTTACATTGCTAATCAGTAGATAAACTGTTGTAGCAGTTGCTATTTGTAAGTTTGTCTTAAATGCATATACACGATCTTCCTGAGTTTGCCTTGGTCAGGGGCACCCTCCACCTTAAAATCAAAGGCATTCCTGACCCACTTCAAGGGATCAGACAGTTTGATTGGCTGTCATTATTTACAGTGGCCTACAGTTTCTTAAGCCTGGTGTGATCTATTTACCAGTAACTGATAAGCATCGAAAATAAAACTCCTGGGATCTCTGATGTGGACAGGTGAAATTTCCCAACTACAACAAGTTAATGGTGAGTGAAAAACAAGTGATGATTGTAGTGTTGGAAAACAAAACATCTAATGTGGGGTGTACATTTAAATCACAAGCATCTCCTGAATAGAAAACTCCACCCTTCAGGCCTGTGAGTCCATCCTCCCCCCGAACTGCTTTGTGGGTGCAGGACAAACAACTATTCCTTGTAGATGAATGAAATGCCACGACTGTGGACACAGTCATGATGTAGAAAAAAGACACCTATTGTCCATCCATCCATCATTGCATCAACTGTTGGCCAAATCCCAAAAAGCACGGGACCATGCATGCAAACTTGCGAATCGGTGACAGCCAGAATGCAGCATGAGACAACTGATTGGATTTTGAGATTCAGGGATTCTGGTTGTGTGTCAATGGGACAGCCTGGTTGAAGCAACATGATGTATTTGGGGCTTTAGGAAATGCTGCCCCTGAATCAGGATGTAAATATTTGTCAGGAACAGTTACGTGCAGTATGTTATGAGTGGTTTTGATCTTGAAGATGGAGAAGCCACCTGGATCTCTGTTGCCAGGTGTTGCCATTTCTGCCAAATTTCTGCCAAAATTAGGATCTGTACATCAGCAGGGCGGTTACCAGGCCCAGCAGGATGGTGATGGGAACCAGAAGGAGAGACACATACAGCAGCCATGGCTCAGGATACACCACCACATCTGAGAAACACAAAACCACTTATAAATCACACATTGATACAGTGTTGGATTTATTGTTATCCTCTCTCCTGTAAATCCAAGTTGACATTAAGGTGAAAGTTCACCAAAATTACAAGAAAAACAAAGAAAAAATTACATTGAAAATACAAACAAAACACAACCAAGTACATGCATGGCTGGATACCACTACAAACGTCTTGTCTTATTACAAGCAAAATATGAAAACACGTTTCCTAAACAACAGAAGCAGCAGGAGGTGAGCACTTGCTGCTGTACAAAACACACTCACCAGAGGTGATTGTCGGACGTGTTGTCATAAGATTTTTTCTAGCGTCTCCGCCTTGTACCGCCACTGAAAGGAAAAAATTGAGATCAAACAAACCTGTCACGTCTTTAACATGACTTTGATGGTGACATGCTGCATGATTTCTGGGCAATGAAGCATTTTCAAGTGGAAAATGCCTGATGCAGCTTTAGAATAATTTCCATCTTTAAAGCTTTTACTTTGTTAAGTTATGAAGTCAATAAAATGCAGAGACAAGCTTCTATTCATTGAAGTATGTTTCATTGAGAAGATAGATAGATAGATAGATAGATAGATAGATAGATAGATAGATAGATAGATAGATAGATAGATAGATAGATAGATAAACATGCCTAAGCAAAAAAGACTTTTCAACTGTAGCCTTAGTTCAGCTTGAGGATTTGTGTTAAGGTTTTGTTGGTTCATGCAATGAATACCTCTTGGAATTGTAAACAAGAACATGAATACAATAGGCTGAACATCCGTAATAACAGAATAAAGTGTGTTTTCAGCTATAAGCTACTATTTATGGTAGTGTTTGAGTGCTGCTGCTGAGGGGTGTTTAACAATCAGTACAGAAAAAAGAAAAAAAAGTAATATAATTACCAGGTGGAAGGTAGTGGAAGGTGCTTTTCATTATCAGATCTTCATTCAGGTGCAGCTGACACTCATATTTACCGCTGCCATTCAGAGAAATAGTCTCAGAGAGTGTGACGAAGGGCAGAGCTGCATCAGCATCCCCCTGAGCGGGATCGACAGGCTGCGCTTTGCATCCATCATGAAAAATGGACAAAACCAATCCAGATTGCAGAGACACGTTTACTTCACACCGGAGCAGAGAGTCATTGTGACTGGTGAGGTTAAAGTTCATGGTGTCTGAAATGAGATGCAGACAGATACACAGGTATGTGCTCAGCGCGTGAAAACTCTCTCGTGAACACAAGCGTTTGTGTTGCAGGTTGAAATTCTTTCCTACCCTCTGGACTTAAAGCCCTCAGTCACTACACAGTGGTCCACATCACCTAATCTGTCACACCTAGTCTGTTTACATGCACACCAGAAACCTGGACATTGGGAAATCAACTTTAGGTAAGAAATTGAAGAAACCATTAAGATGTACTGCAATAACCTTTTCAAATGCAGGGTGTCAGCAATCAGATTTCTACCCTTTAGTTCAACTATTGATGATATAGGAAAAATAGTTTTTTTCTGAACAGAGCATTTTAACTTATGATGTGGTTATAAAACAAGCTCTGTGGTAGCCTACACTTTTCTCTCTCTCTCTCTCTTTATAGAAATACACAGGAAACAAAAAATGAAAAACGTTGTATTTACCATGAACAATCAGTAATGTTTCATTTCCAGTCCTCCTAAAACTTTTATGCTTCTCTGTGGTGATGGAGAGTTTACACAGATACTTCCCACTATCTGCCCACTGGACATTTCTGAGAAGTATGGACTTGTTTGTAGAGTCTGGGTTTTTGTCCAGAAGAGCTACACGTTCCTCATATGAGGCCGAGGGGCTCCACAGTCTGGGATTTTCACGGCCCGGTGTTAAGCGCAACCAATACAGAACCGGTACAGTCAGCATCTTCTCATCATGGGAAAGCTGGAGCTGACACTGCATGGTAACATCATTACCCAGAGCGGCGGCAAACACAGGGGGCTGGTGAACTACCACCAGGGAGCTGGTACCTGAAAAACAGAAATAATAAAAGAAAAAAAACAATGACAGGATGTTGGGTAACTAATAATTTCCTGTCAGAAGTATTCTTTGTTTCACAGCAGTGCTCTACCTTCCTGTCTGTGTTGATCTGTTAAATTGTAAAAACACTGATGAGTAAATCTTTTTTACTTGGTGATGCCACGAAGTCATGGAAAATAACTGAGACTACAAAATATACTTTAAATGACATTTCCAATGGTTCACACTGAACTCTTTCAAAGCAAGCCACAGATATACATCAATCAGCCACAGGGTAGTTTGCACATTTGAGTTTGTGGTTTTTACTGGGAAATTTGACCAACTCATTTTCAAGTTGATAGTATAAATGTACTATGTGATAGTTTGCAGTTCAACCTACAGTCTATATATATATATATTAAAAAAAACACATGTTCCAGTTTGTTGAACACTTCAAATGTGCACTTTGATAAGAGCGGCTGCACACAAAGTCGATCCATCAGTGGTCTTTTGCAAAGACGCTGTAAAAACTTTAAAAAGGAAGACAAACATTTTGAGGGTAAAAGAATGATACTAAAAGAATGTGGACGCCAAATGTTCAATCACTTTTTTGTGCAGTAATAAGATCATTTAAAAAAAAAAACACACACACACACAACAACATAAACAACAAAAATGGGGTGCCCAGATAGCCAGATGGTTACAGTGCGTATACCATAACTGCCGTGTACTCAAATGAAATCAGACTGGAGACCGTTGTTGCACGTCACACCCTTCTTTTTCCATGGTTTGCCATCTGCCTCTACACTGTCTCTTATCCAACAGAGGTGAAAGTGACAAATTTTGAGATATAATTTAGATTTTGAATTTCTACATTTGAAGGCAAAAATGTAAATTGAATGAATTTTCTCAGATTTGTTGACTTTTCTTTGGAGTCAAAAGGCTGACAAAAAAACCCATTAATGCTACAAATCAGATTTTTTTTTTTTTACCTGTTAATCTGAAACTTCTGGAGCACCTTACACACACTGGTGCTCTTGAGGGGGAAAAAGCAAGTTTTCCAAATAAAAAAAAAAAACAGTGCACAAAAGGTTTGAAATGTGATTTGATTCAAAAACAATTGGTAAAGATGTGTTTTAATCCACTAATGGAGTTTGAAGATTATCTGTCCTTGGATTTATCTTGGACCAATCAACCTATCTATCTCTATAAAGTAAAAGAAGTTAAGCCTGAAGACTTTTGTTTTGAAAATACACCACAGAATGTAAATACACACAAATGTGTCAAAAGCTGCAGGAAAGAAACCACTGAAGAAATGGTATGAGTGAAACCAGGTCACTTGCAAACTGTGTCAATAGTGAATCCTAGGGACTGCATTTAAGAAATACATTTGAATTGCCTATAAAAATGTATTCAGAGCCTGAAAACATTTATGGTTTTAACACAGATATTTGCACAATACATACATTTCCCTGTATTTAATAATGACAGCTAAGGATCCCTTTGACAAAAACACACATACAAATCAAAACTCTTCCTAAATTTTACCTGAGACCATGAAGTAGAGAAGAATCCACGTCATCCAGCCCCATTTCATCAAAAAGAAGTTGTGATGCAACTCAGACAAAACGATTTTTAACATGTCTCTCGATTAACGACGCATTAAAAATACAACGATTCCTCCAGGGAGTGCAGATGAAATATATACAGGCGTGTGTCACACCACTTCCTCACAAACTGGAAGATATTACGCCACTAAGTCTTTTCAAATGTAAACAAATCATGCAAAGGGTTTCCCCTTCCAGTATGTTATCATTGTTTTGATGGTGCAATGACAGCATTACTTAACTTCTTAACTTAACAACTGAAGATTTTATTTTAAATAAAACAAAGTATATAATATATTATAATATATCATTTGTCTTTAAAAATCAAAGTAAGGAATTGAAACTGAAAGTATAGTACAGGATGTGGTTCGTCTTTTGGATTTTTTAGCACAGAATTATACAACAATGAAGTTCATAAAACAGTCCCCACTCAAGTTCCAGTTAACTTTCAGCTGTATCACAGTCCTCATGAGTAGATGAAGTGTGTTCAGCTGTCAAGAAACTGTACAACTGTACAACTGTACTGTAGTATTTCTTCTTCATGTTGGCTTAAAAGTTGACCTTAAACAATGAATTCTTCCTCTTAGAAACAGTCGCCAACAAAACTCCGCTCAAGGTCAACTCTGATTGTATCATTGTTGTTTCCAAAATCAAGCATGAACTGTTTGACTCTAATAGAACAAGAAACCCTAAAATTTCATCTGCTGATGAAAACCATGTGAGTTTCAGAGGAAATGAGTAAGTCAACCTTAAGCGGAGATTGTATTTTCTGCTGGTGTTTCAGTGTGTCACTTTACATGTTTTTCCATCTGCAAACATGGGAGACCATTAAATGACTAAATACACTGACACCCTTTGAACTAACCACCATCCTCCCAGATACAGATGTACAGGCCAATACAGTTTGAGCACACAGTGATGCACTTTTGCACCATGTGTCCTCCCACACAGAAAAAGATATAGTTCTAGTGAAATCATCTATCTTAATTCAATCAACTGTTGAGCCCTGCATGGAAATTGCTTTGCAGAGGTGTGACGACCACCTCATCTGTAGCAGGATATACGCAGGAATTTTCTGCTCACCCACTTGTGCTTGTGGTAAGTGTGTTAACGTGTAAAAGATAGTTGAAAGGAGAGCTATTTTCATGAAAACCATACGAATCTTGAGTCATTTGCCATTTACTTTGTTACTTTTATATCTTTTAAAAAGGCGGGTAAAGTTACATATATCAGTAACAGGGGACATTTTACTTTGATACACTACTTAAGTAGCCTATACTTCGCTGATAATACTTCTGTACTTTTACTCATGAAGGAGTTTGAATCCAGGACTTTCACTTGTAATTGAGTATTTGAAATTAAAGGATCTAGCCCAAGTACTTCTTCCCCAACCGAATGTAGTCAGGTACAAGCACACGAGAATGTTACAAAATACCTGTTCCCTACATTGAACTACATTACCCATACAACCTTTCGTCAACGTATTACGTCAAACGTTAGTCGGTCGGCAAATTCCAACATGGAGGATATCGTAGCCGTAGAAAAGAGCCCGGTATGAATCAGTGAGATTGTTTCCTGTTTTTCACTTTAAACTAACAGAGTTTCTGTGGTAGGCTTTGGTAAATATAAGTTCTTGAGTGTTGCTTTCTGTGTTTGTCTGTTGTAGTCTTTTACCGTTTGTTAGCTCGTTAACACTGCTGAAACGTAAACCTGCCAATTCATTCTCTACTCAATGCAATTGCTATGTCATGCGAGTTAGCTGCTAGCATTAGCATGGTGTTTGTAGAGCTCAAGAAAATAGATTTAAGCAGGTTTTATGAAACTGTGTCTTTCAAGGATTGATGTCAATCATTTGGATTATGTTTTCATGTCTCCTCGGTGCGTCGTAAACAGCTTTTAGTGGTCAAATTTTGCTGTTGCGAATCGTTAAAGTTAGCTAGCTCTTAACAAGCTAGGAGTAGCTAAGCTAATGTTTGTCTATGGTAGGTGCAATGTTATAATCGAGAATACCGTTGTTACACAGTTACATTGTTAGCTATCCTCTGTTGCTGAGCCGAAAATAGCGTGTACTATGCGCTAAGTGCAACCTCTTCACTCGTGTGGTGGTAATTACATTAGGTTGCTCATGTTAAATGTTTTTTTTTTGTTGTTGTCACATTCACAGGACGACATGCCGGCAATACTGAGCTCTAGACCTCAGACAGGTCTTTCTTTCCTGGCACCAGAACCAGAGGATCTTGAGGACCTTTACAGCAGATACAAGGTCTGATACCCGTTCAGATATTTTATTCAAAAGTTATAACCTACCACATATCTCTGAGTATGAGTGAACTGAAGGGTTCAAATGTGTCTTATTCTCCGTCTTCACGGATAACACAGGGTTGTGGTCTGTTTAAATTTCAAACGACAGCAGTGAATTTCACTAAAGACAAATATGAAACAAGCTTGTTTAAATTACTCTCATGCATAAAATTACAGGAGCCTGGTTTCAAACCTCTGACTCTGATTTCTCAGTGATTTGAGCGATGTTATTAAGTGAAACAAAATGTCAATTCAGTGTGATTATCAGGATAAAATTACGGAGGAATCAGGAGTGAATTTCACACGGACCATATTTACCTAAGACACCTACTTTTTTCAGATATATATATTCCAGGCACTAACTTGTTGACCTGCAAACCTGTCAAGTCAACTAAGCTGAATTGCTTATCAAGAGTAATACAAAATAATTACTCTATAGTTTACTTAGAAATTTGCAACACTACATATATTTTGGATTGCCTCACAGAGTCAGATACAGTGTGGTGCTTTCAGTATGACCAGTTGTTCACCACATGTCATTGTATCAGAATATTTTGCATAATCTCGGTGTGCATGATGGTCTGCATAGGCAGAGTTTTGAAAGACACCAGTACATTCATAATCTATTATCTTAGTAAATGATATTGACTGATAAAATTGCAGATCTCAAAACATAATGTATTTTAGATAGTTTTCATGCACAATACCTTTTTAAATTAATTATGGAATCATCTCTTTATTTTTTTTTTTCCAAAAGAGAAAGTTTCAAATTGTTTGTTCTCAAATATTTGTTGTTTTAGTTATTCTTCAACTCTCCATGTCCACAAGCCACTAACTTGGGTTTATGATCTCCAGCAAGCAGATTTAAGCTACATCTGTTTCCAGCACTCATTTCTTCCTCTCCTTTTGTCATGTCTTTGCAGAAGCTTCAGCAGGAGCTGGAGTTCCTGGAAGTGCAGGAGGAGTACATAAAAGATGAACAGAAGAACCTGAAGAAAGAATTCCTCCATGCCCAGGAGGAGGTGAAGAGGATACAGAGCATCCCACTCGTCATTGGCCAGTTTCTGGAAGCTGTTGACCAGAACACCGCCATCGTTGGCTCCACTACAGGTACCATTAAAAGAAAAACATGTCAAAATATGAAAGACCTACACTAAGTAAGTCATTTGCTGCCAGTATTATTTTAAGTAATACAATATGGAGATTAAGCTCTGTTTGACCATATTGACAGTCCCACAGAACTTCAAAGTCAAAAAATATATGTCTGACGCAAAGAAGACCATTGACTATTTTACACAAACCCAAGATGGAGTGCATACACTTGAGAGAAATACATAGACCCGAGCCTGGAAATGGAACCTGAATCATCACACATCTGAAAGTTATTAGCACTCAGAAAATATTTAAATAGATACATTTACATGCAGCACTAGCAAACACCGTCTGTGTCAGCTCTAAATTTCAGATGGGAGGGGGTTCAGACACAGAAAATCTTAACAACTAATGTAACTACTTTTTGGCAACATAGCATTTAAAGACATGCATCTGCCCTCTAATTCTCACCTCACCCATAATCATTGACATAGAATCAGTTTTTTCACAGATATTTCAATTGATATTATCCATGTGTCGTAACTTAACATCAAGGTTACTACTGAGGGAATGTTTTCTGTACTAAAGAGCTATTAAATTCTTACTAGCATTATATTTCCAAGAGAGAAATTGAATGCAAAATAGTATGCATTTAAAGCACAAAAATAATGACTGTGAAATAAATAAATAGTTAAAGCTAATAATTAAAAATTAATTAAATGGCGGATGATGCATACAAGCTGTATATTTGAATACTTTATCGTGTTCTGGCTTTCAGAGTCTTTTGAGAGATCCGAGAGGAGATGTACTGTGCGCTGTCATATTTTAATTATTCAGTATGAGCTACATGTTTCCTGTGTTCTTTCCACTTCTATTGACCATTGTTCCCCTTTCAGGGTCCAACTACTATGTGCGCATCCTGAGCACCATCGACAGAGAGCTGCTGAAACCCAACGCTTCAGTTGCCTTGCACAAGCACAGCAACGCCCTGGTAGATGTGCTCCCTCCTGAAGCTGACAGCAGCATCATGATGCTGACGTCAGGTAAAACACTCAGTGCCACTCTCTCTCAGAGGATTTCAGGTTGCCGGGTCTGTAAACAAGTTTAATTGCTGTGAAGCTCAACACAGCAAACCAGAATGTGACTGTGATCACATCTGGATTTTTTCCAGTCCTCTCTCAAAAGATTTTATTAATTATTTTTACTATCAAGCAATCAGTTAATTTAATTTCCTTGTCCATTAATTTTATCCATTAAAATGCACAAAAGAGGCAATTTTCCGAACAGAAATGTATTTTGTATTCATTTTACTTGTATTGAATAGCACAGCTGGTATAATTTTCCTTCTTGCTGTGTTTCTGTTCCCAGACCAAAAACCAGATGTGATGTATGCTGACATTGGTGGTATGGACATCCAGAAGCAGGAAGTCAGAGAAGCAGTGGAACTGCCACTTACACACTTTGAGCTCTACAAACAGGTCAGATATTCAAAAGTAATACGACATTCCAGCATGAACTCTGACAAACATTTATTGGGTTGATGCTCAAAGTGAAGGAAAATATCATGGATTTGAGCAATGAAAATGCAGAAACCCTGTGCTACATGCAGTAACTTTTTGTCAGTCACAAACGATTTGCATAACCAGTTTCAAGCAACTGGATTGAAACGGGACTAATCTGTCAATCGACCTTTGTCTGCTTACTGTCTCAGATTGGCATTGACCCACCCAGGGGTGTCCTTATGTACGGACCTCCAGGATGTGGTAAGACCATGTTGGCCAAGGCTGTGGCACACCACACTACAGGTAAGTCCTCTGTACCAGAGACCTATGTGTTTGGCACTGGACAGGAATTACATCCCAGATATACTACCATTGGATATATTCTGTATATTTAGTATTGTGATATTGTCTTGTTTTATACCAAATTACACAATTAGTCTTTTCACCCTTACGCTGACAGTGCAAGATGGATTCATAGGCTATAATATATATATATTATGTCATTACTTAAACCAACGCAGACCATTACTAACTACAAGTGATTTGTACAAAGATACTGTATTTTAGTTACAGATTATTGATGTGGATAAGGTACACTGAGAGGAAAAATATATCTGTCATTCTCTTCATGTCCAGCTGCTTTCATCCGTGTGGTGGGCTCTGAGTTTGTTCAGAAGTATTTGGGTGAAGGCCCTCGTATGGTGCGTGATGTCTTCCGGCTGGCGAAGGAAAATGCACCTGCCATAATTTTCATTGATGAGATTGATGCTATCGCCACCAAGCGTTTTGATGCACAGACTGGAGGTACAAATCTGTTTGGCTCACACGTAGACCTGTTGCACACAAACCCTCTAGTTATTGTTTCTTTGTCCTACAGTCAAGATTTACCCTGACTATGTTGTAAATGCAAAAACATCATGGCAAAAATTCACCCTCTTACATTGTTTTCTTCTGCAGCTGACAGGGAAGTGCAGAGAATCTTACTTGAGCTGCTTAATCAAATGGACGGCTTTGACCAGAATGTCAATGTCAAGGTAAGCCAAGTCTACTCCACTCAGAAAGCTCTTAAGTCTTCCCCTGTGACTGCACCATCTTGGTATGTGCTGACTCGTGGCGCCAGTGATGGAGCACCATGTGAGCCATCCCAGCCCCCAATCTCCGGTCCCTCCTACCATCCATTCACTTTTCCATTGTCACTGCTCCCTGTGTCATTCAGCTTAGAAAACACCCCTAAAGCTATAATTGTCATTTTTCAAACCCTAAATGGACATTTTGCCCATAAGCTATTTTCACATGCAGTACTGGTCAGACTTGTCCAAAGCCTTGCGTAGATGAAGAGGATGGCTGTGTGTGTATCACCACAAACTGTGTTTTTTCTGTAAAGAATTCACTTTTCTGGGTTTTTCTTCTGCAGACACTTTGCAAATTGCATAGAATAATTTTGTTAATCCTACAGCTGCAGGTTGGAATGAGGCTTCCTGTTAGACTGTGAGCAAAGCAACTGCAGTTCAGTGTGTGCAATTTTTTTTTTTTTAAAGAAGTGTATGATTTTCTGTAATTAAAAGTTATTCATAGCAAATACCTTAGTTTAGTTTTCCAGACTTTTTGCAGGAATTGTAAAAAGTTAGTTTTTCTTGAACATTTGGTGAGTGATGGATGTTAAAGGTTTCAAAGGATCGGCGAAACCGCTGCCCTAGATACCATGGGTGCGTTCGGTCCAAGCTCAGCTAATTTTTTTTCCCTTCACTGAGCCAGAAGCAGACGTTTTATATGGGGCCAAATACACCCCATATTATGATATGTTTACAATTTATCATCATGCTCACGTGATCTCCTTTGACATCTGAACCCCTCTTAGGTGATCATGGCCACCAACAGAGCAGACACACTGGACCCGGCCCTGCTCCGTCCTGGTCGTTTGGACAGAAAGATTGAGTTCCCCCTGCCCGACCGCAGGCAGAAACGTCTCATTTTCTCCACCATTACCAGTAAAATGAACCTCTCCGAGGAGGTGGACCTGGAGGACTGTATCCTTTTGCCTCAATAACAGCATGTTTCAGTGGTGTTTATGTGTGTATATCAGGGAGAGAAATTAATGTTTCCTTTTGGAGGGAATTTTGTTAATGTTCAAAATAGAATATTTTCTTTACGTACAATAGATATGCTTCCAATTGTGCACACAAGATTTGTTTGAACTTCTGTTCCACACTACTGAAATTGTCAGCGTTATAAAAATGAGATGACTTGATTTTTCCAGTCATCCACTCCTTCATTGTCGTTTTTTTTTTTTTCTTTAATATGTTTTTTTATGTTGAAGCAGTTTGTCTCATAGGGGTAGCATTTCCTTGTACTGCTGTGTCAATGTTAGTTGTCTTGTGTTAATGTTTTCTGCTGATTCTGGCCAGGTACTTTCTTGTTAATGATAAAAACTACTAGTTCTCTTATTCCGATCGCACTAAAGGTAATGCCCTGCTCTCTAGCCATATATACAAATTATTTTAAGGACAGTTTAGCCCCATGCCCCCTTAGGAGTTTTTCTGTCCCTGGTTTACATGTGTGCAGTATCCTGTGTGACATGTTTTAATGTAGTACTTTGATGATGAGTGACTAGATAGATATGTAGTTGATGATGAGAAATAGGCAAAGTGTATCGTTACCACTTTAGACCATACAACATACAGGCTGGAACTCATGTTAACGTGAAGATAGTTTGTACAGGACAAAATTTTGAATATTTAAGAGTCATAGTCAACTGGTAACTAGATGTAAGAGTACTTCTTTTAGTGTCTTCTAGTCATACAAGCATGGACTTGTCGGACTGGAACCAATTCTCTGTGTTTTTAATTTAAAATGAATCTTCATTCTCTGTTTTTGTCCAGCAGAGTTTTTCTACAGAGTTAATGACTTGTGATGTTTGGCTTTTAGTTACATACTTGTTTGCATTAGTATCACATTTACCGCAGAGATCTGAGTGTGAGATGGTTTTGTTGAAGACACTTTATTCCTTTTGCCCTCAAACTGACAAATAAGCAGAAAACAAACTCAGAATCTCAAAGAAAAAATGAAAACGAAAATATTCAACAGCTAGTTCATTTGTAATTTAAAAAGTGTTAAAGGTGCGCATGCACCTTGCACTGCATCATTCCTGTATGTCTAAACACAGTAGGATACTCGGATGTTTTGCTTCTATTTGGCATTGCTGTGTTGTTCAGTTCTTAATTGATGCACAGATGTGGCCAGACCAGACAAGATCTCTGGGGCTGATATAAACTCCATCTGCCAGGAGGTGAGTTAGAGCTTTAATTATCTGTTTCATTTATCTGTTTATTCAGTTATAGTTGAAAGCAAAACTAATGGGATAAATTTTTGCATAGAACAACTAAATATATACATATTAATTTGTTGCTTGATCTTCTGTTTTTCATTTCTTCCTCGGCTGTCTCAGGCTGGCATGTTGGCAGTGCGGGAGAACAGGTATATCGTCCTGGCCAAAGACTTCGAGAAGGCTTACAAGACTGTCATCAAAAAGGATGAGCAGGAGCACGAGTTCTACAAGTAGAGACAAAATACATTGAGAGAAAAAGGTGTCCAGACACACAAGTTTGTTATTGATTTACGTCTCCGTGTCTGTATCTACAGTGTGTCTTTTGTGGATTTTCAGTCCCTGACCTGCATTGATTTTTGGACTAAATTTACTGCAGCACACAAGGTCTAATGTCAGATAAGCCCTCTGTCTCCAGCCTTGAGAAGACACACTACCATGTGATGGAGTGTTTTTTGTACAGGCACTCTTCTGGTTCCTTAAAAATATCTGGCCCTGACCGTAGCTAGGATAGAACATTTGTATCTATATGTACTCACTTAACAGGACATTACTTATAAAAAATCCATTAAAGTTTTCCATAAAAAAAGGAAAATGGTGGTCATTGTTTTTCTCCCTTGAAATATGTTTTTTAATAGAAGATACTCAATTATAAAACTAACTGCTGAGTTGTTCTTGTTATCTTTATTGTTGGATTAATTGATACTAATTAACTGACAGAAAATCAATTGGCACCTAATGTGATCACTTAGTTAAACATTTAAGTAAATTTTTTAAGCAAAACGGACAAAAATTCACTGGTTCAAGTTTGTCTAATGTGAATATTGGCTGTTTTTCTCAAGCTTCTATGATGTTAAACTAAAATGTGTTTTGAATTGAAATGTTATGGACCAAATGATTAAGAAAAAGAATAATCAACAGATTCATTGAAAAAGAAAATCATTAGTAGCAGACCTAATTGTGATTAAATATATTAAGTAAGGAATTACCTCAGCTATTGTCTTGCATTGCCCGGCCTTTGTCCACTTTTTCTCAATGTTCAGTAATGGTGCTTTGTTTCCTGCCAGCAAAATGTTTTTTTGAGAGATGTTGCTAAAGCACTTACTCAGACACTTGGCAATCGAGATGGAAAATGTTGCCCTTAAGCTTAGAATTGGTTACTTAGACAAATCCGTGTGAATAAAATGAATATGAACCAGAAGAATAACCAGAAAAAAAGAGAGAACCATATTTCTAACCCACACAAAGGTGTTATCTACGCTGGTATCACATTACAACATCAGACACATGCTCATTCATATCTGTATTTAGCAGTAGCCATACATCAGATAATTATACTGTTTTGTGGATATACTCCTGCCAGTGTTTGGATCCTGGAGTTGACAAAGTCGACTCAAGTGGATGCCAGCTGTAGGCCGAGCTTCTCGGTCGGTCCTTAAATGCCATCTTCCATGCTGCTCAGTGGCCCTCTGCTTTTCTTGTTTTAAGTCTACCCATGAGTCGAAGCAGTGCAGCCTGAGGTTGCAGCTCTCCCTTTAGGCCACAAGTGGGGGGAAGATCATTCATTATAGCTTTCAAGCTGCAGTGTCAGTAAAACAAATACACACCAAGCTACACAGCAGTCATCACCTTTGTTATATATTGTGGATTCATGTGGACAAGTTGAGGCCTGATGACCAGAGTCCCTTGGGAAAAACTTGGAATTTACTGTAGTATATTTAATTTGGATTTAATAGGGAAAAGTAATATAATAATAAATTTCAACTTTACCTGCTGTTATAACCCAAACTATGAAGTAGATAAAAAAAAAAAAAGCAAGCACAGTCTAGGGTTATATGAAATTTTGGGAGATCCCTGAATATGACTTGATGTACAAATAACAGTGGAAATCCAACTAATGGCACCTACATGCGTTTCACTTGGTCTCTGGTAGGAAGACTGTAAGTGACCTGGTCAAAATAGTAGGGACAGAGCTGCAAGGCTGCCTGTTCTGGCCAGCTGGACATCCTAGCAAAGATTTTATCCAGTCTGTGGTTTTGTCCAAAGTACTGTCCAGGGCAGAGTTGACACCACAAGGCTGACACCAACGCCTCCATGCTGGTTTGAGGTGCCGATGGCCTGAGAGGAAATAACTGGTACAGAGGTGGTTGGACTGCCATTTTTGCAAACTCTGCCATCAAAAACAGAGATGGGATCAAATTCATAGTACTGGCAGACACAGAAAAAAGTGACTGCATATGTATTGATATTTTCAAAACCTATGCAATCACTTTTATGTACATGAGTAAGTTACAACTATGATCACGTTATTCAAAGGTAAATTAATGTTACTTACCTTAACTGTGAAATGTATTCACCTGTATGAAATGTGTACTTTTTGTTTTCTTTTAATTTTTTGCCCTGTTCTAGAGCATGTGACCTCAGAACTTCTGCCCGCGATAAAGTTAATTACAAATGCACATTAATTACTAAACTAAAAATAATTTCTAATAACCTGTAACACTTAGAGTGAATGTAGTATGGTCAGATAAACTTGTAGGCTTGGCCAAGTTTTTTTTATACGTTTTGAACAACTGCAAATGTTTATTTTCGTCTTTAAGGCCTCATCCTGGATAATAGGCTTTAGAGTACCAAGAATATTTGGCACAGCTACAACACCTTTTTGGCGCTCTCTCATGTTTCAATTCCCAAGGATTTTATTTGGTCAAAACAGATCATGTTTTTGCCTTCATGTCTCAGGTCATATTGGGGCGTCTGGCAGCTTTAACAAAAGTCAAAATTAAAGTAACATTTTCACCACTTTCAAAGCCATACTCAAATCTAATTCAAATCTCCTACAGCTCTATATTTTCATAGACCTACATTTACTATCTAATAACTTCATTTAATTGTTAATTACTTAATTTTGACTCTTGGTTATTTTTACAGTTCTTTAAAGTTTTTTTTTTTTTTTTATCTTTAGGGTGTTGTTTGTGTTTATAACACCTCAACAACATTTTACACTTGAATTTTTTATTGAAAAATAAATAAACATAGGTATAATTTTACTAATGTGTGTCTAAGCTGTGTCCTAAATAAAAACTGAATGAATGAATAAATAATGTTAGTTATACTGCTAAATAGTACCATTACCGTTACAGCTGACACACTACTACTGCAAAATACTACTAGAATTACGACTGGCAACTGTGAGATAATAATTTCCTCATATAAATGGGAAAAAAAAGCCAACCTGGAGTTTTTTATTCGACGTGTAACAACATGTAATTTGGGATTTCCAGGGAAGGGGAGGGGAAACTGCTGTGAGACAGAGTGGTTATTCGCTCCTCGAGACTACCACACATCACGTCGTCCACACAGCTTCAACTTCAAAACATATCGGAAATACGGAGGAAGAGGGGTATGGCTGGGAATATCGACGGCTAACAGCCACTTAACCTGCCAAGGAGTAAAATCACCCTCTCTGGTAAGACTGAAACAAATATATCAAATATATTGCTAACAAAACTGCACCGTGCGTGTGTGGCTGGTAGCTAGCTAGCCAGCTAACTATCGTCAGTTAACCCTCATCGGTTAGCTCGGCCCGGTTTGGCTCGTGTTTCCTGTCACAGCTGGCGAGAATCGGTCTTGGTTTGAGGCCAGGTGGGAGCAGTTTACTCTACGACGTTCACAGAATTATGTTTATAAACGTGTGGTTGGTTATCCCTGGTTTTGAGCAAATGTGAGCACGCCAGTCATACAACAGTTGAAAGGTAATTAACGGTAGTGATTGCTCCACTTAAAAGTAAGACGGTACAAAACACTGCCGCGAATAAAGTTAATCAACGGATTAAACGTTAATTTGCTTACACGACAGCAGAAACAAGAGAGGAAATACGTTTTTTTAAAGTGTTAATCAAGTTAACGTGTAACGGCCAACATTGTTAAGCTAATGTTCGTTAAAATTTGCTTAATTTACGTTACTTCTCTAAAATGCCCGCTCAACTTTGAGTTAAACCACTTGAAAGTTTGCTTGCCTCTAGAACTAGCTAGTTTGTGTCATTGCTAAAACTGCAGTTGCGACACAGACATAAGTTTTTAATGTAACGGCAACTCGAATTGGTAAGCAACCCGGTTTATTAATAGCTAACTATCCGTGAAGGGCTTGGCTGAGCCAAAACTGGTTTCATGGTCACTGCTGAGACAAGAGGGAGTGTTGAAATAGTCATTGACTACACCTTTTCATGCTGCTTTTTGGCTTGCTTGACTTTCAGCTGAAACAGGTTTCATAGCCTCGACTCTGTCCCCATATTCTCATGTATACCCTCCTCAGCAGAACAAAAGGCGCTGCTTGGTGGCCCCCTCCCCCTCACAACTGTCTAATTAATTGAGTCCATACTTGAGGTATGAGGGGACCAGTGCAGGGGGCAAACCGAAGGATTACTCTTTTGTTGCCCTTTAGAAGATGGTACAATAGTTTTATCTGTTGACTTCTGTTAAACTTCTGTGTCAAGGGAAACTTCCACACTACACATGTAGTCTTTCACACTTAGTATGCAACGGACAGGCTTCATCTTATTAATTCTTAGGAATTGGACTCCAACTAAGCATAATCGAAAACTGACTAAGTCCATGACCACAAATTACAATGGTAGATAAGACCAGGTCATAGTTTCTGAATTATAGATCCAAAAGTTGAGATGTGAAATCAAAAATCTTGGCTCATTGCTCTATGTAAGAAGTATGTAGGCCTACATCTAACTACGTACTATCTCCACTTCTGACATATATCTGATATTTTAGTCCCGTCCCTCTTTTTTAAATGGTGGCAGAGAATAAAAGGTTTCCCTTTACACAGGACCCCTGGCAGTTATTGCGATAATGAGATTTGTCATGATACTATAATCCTGTGACAGAGTAATATCCGGTATAGTTTTATCTATTATCATGTAATACATTACTGCAACGGATGGCTGTGTCATCATCTGTCATATTCTGGAGAATACGTCACTTAGGCTTTTTGTTGTGGCTTTTGTTCTTATATTCCTCTTTCTTCTGAATTAGGTTCTCCCATGTAACTGTTGGTAGTGACTTTTGCCGTGGTTAGTGTAATTTCATAATTTGTTTGAATAGGTTAAATGTTGCAGGACTGGTAGTGTCAGCTTTCTTTTTTACGTGTAACTTGCTGCTTCAGTTTTGTTGTGGGCTTGATGCCCCCATAGGAGTTTTCTTGTCTCTATGGTTGTCATGGCTAAGTTTGCAACCCACTGGAAGTTACTGTGATTGGATAAGTGACTGTCCCTGGTGGGTTGGTTATAGCCGAAGGTGAACACTACACTATGGAAACTGCATGAGCAACCAAAGGCAGAAAGATGAGAAGAACAGTGGGAGGAAGGAGGAGGATGTTTTTTTTCCCTCCTCTCCTCAGCAGTCTGTCCCAGCAGAGTCGGACTCGAGGGAACAGCCATAGAGACGTGTACCAGCTGCACCCACAATGAATGGCCAGGGCTCAGGATGGGTTGCCATGACAAGGACGCTGGCACGCGTTGTTATGCAGACACCTCTTTTCTCAGGGCATGTTTGCACATTATTTCATTGCCTGGCCTTGCCTGGGTGGTGTGTGAGAAAAAAGGCCAGCCTGCGTATACAGAATCAGAATAACATTTTTCCTCAAGTGTTTTTGTTCTTAATACTGACAGTGGTTTGTGTAAAATCATTTCTCTTAGTTTGCTCTTGATCCAGCACCTGTAGAAGTTCTTTGGATGTGTGTGCCCTACACCCTGATATCCTAATGTCTTGGCAGCCTTGTAAATAATAGTGATTGTGTTGTGCAAGGGTGATTTGGGGTCTGCTGACTACATCTGTCCACATCAGTTTCACTCCTATGTGTGGTATTAAACACTAGTTACTAAACTAGCTGAAATATTCCTGTTAATTAGCTTACACTCACAGGGCCTCACTGTATGGGTTTTGAAGAATGAATGACATAGA